TACAATGGGTATGCTACTGTGTACGCATTACGAAGAAAATAACTCATACTTACATTTGATGATGTGCAATGATCGACCGAAAAACTACGTTCACAATTCATTTGTCCTTATGATAAATTTTATCATTTTCCAACTTTGAATGTTAGAAAAACACAAAAACGCAAGAAATATAAATGTTGCTGTTGAAATAAATCTATCACAAAAATACCTCGGTGGAGAAAATCGAGCAAAATATATACGAAATAAAGATGTTATTTGTTATGAACTCAATTTTGCATAGGTTGAATGAAACATAACGTGTATATTCAAGAATTAAGTAATGCTATACTTGATACTTGAGAAACTAATTTGGTGATATAATTCAATTATAAAAGTCAAAATCAACATTTTATGTGGTTAAACGCTGTAATTTTCTCTAAAGATACATTTAAAACTAAAAATAACCGTTAAAAAGTTATTTATTAAAGTAATCACTATTGTATACTTTTCTTTCGATTGGAAATGCAATACCTTGTATATTTAGTCACTCATTTTTCTAATTAATTTTAAAAAGGTAACAGAGAGGATATCATTATTTCTCTTGATTGCAGTCAATAAGCCAAAATACATATATGTCACAGGCATTTTACCTTAAAAAGAAGAATTATTAAACATATACATGCACATCTTGCTTGCAACCGATAGGAACGATCAGCCTTTTACTCTCTTTTTTTATAATTCTAACTAAAAAATAAAATTTCATTTATGAAAATTCTTACCCTTAGAAATCTTGGAGTTCTATCCATTATTTAGTCAGCTTTCGGTGCAGTTCTTGTATGTCTCCATGACAGGAGAAAGACGACCAAAGGATTGCTATAAAATGTTTTTATTGACTAGATAAAAACTTTCGTTTTAATCTGTAAATCAGACTTTAAAACAAATTAATCCAATCTCAATGTGCATTATTCTAGCTTGGAAAAAAAATCAAATATTATATGTTTTAGTTAACAAAACAATTGAAAGGAAAACAAACAAACACAATTAATGTTAACTTAAACACGCCCGAGATAGGGACCCGAGATGGTCACACGTCAAACGGCATACAAGTGATAAACCTTTTAAAAGGAATGTGCATTAAAGCGAATGATTTACGAAACTTTTAAGTTTTGATAATTACATTGAAACAAATGAAAAACATTTCTTATAATGTTTATTTTTTTTTGCAAATTATGTAAAAAATTATATCAATAAACAATTCATGCTTATTTTCAATATGTTTCAAGGTCTGGAAAGATTCTAACCAAAAAACGTAATCATTTACACGAAAGTTTAACCTTCCCCTCTATTTGAAAATAATTGCATATTTTAAACAGGAAATTGACAAACAGCTTTCAGTTTTGCAGAAATCTGTGATGTTATGAGAAAACCAGAATATGAGTAGAAACATAGACATGTATATATGTCTCTGGTAGAAACTATCAACCGAGTCCAACAGTAAGTTTAATCAAGTTTCCAGTTCTTTATTTACTGAAAAGTCAATGATTATGTTAGTCACGAAAAATCTTCAAATTGCAGTAACCATTAATCAAATTAAAGTATGTTGAGGGCCATTTTAATCCAACGAATGTTAAATTTTAAACGCTTCATTGGTCGGTTTGTGCGGTGAAATTTGAACAAAACTACACTTTTTTATCAAAAGCTGCATAGACTTAAAAGAATCGCACCCATCAATGCTATAAACATTAGCTAGTAGATTGTAGTGTAGGTTGAATAATATTTATTATTCTTTTAAATAAAAATGTGTGACCCTATTATCTTAAACAAAATCGACTGGCAACCGTACACACTGTATCTCACACAGATAAAATTTTACATTTTAATGTTAGTAAGAATTTTTCATAACATTTGACGAGGTCTGTAAATGTGGGCATTTCTTTTGTTTTTGATCGTCCGCAATAGCGTGATATTTGGTATGAAATAAATGCAATATGCATTAATATGTATCCAAATGTTTTCGCATAGAGCATAACTGAAGAGACATTTATTGTCGAATTGCAAATCTGGTGCAGAAAATTGATACCATTAATGTTATTAACAAATAAAAAGGGGTTACCAAATGCCTCAGTCAGTATATATCTACTTATGATGACACTTAACTGGATGGGTGGATGGATGAATGTTAAACGTCCAGTGGCAAATTAAATGCATTTAGGACGAGAACATATTAATGTTATACGAATATAAACCCTGGTTTGTACTAGACCGACGTGCTGCTGTCGGATTATTAACGTGATGAATCAAAAAGTAACAGTCCACAGGCAGACATATACCGGTACTGTCTTTTCTCTACTCCTTTTAAACGCACCCTTAGCGGAAAAGTAGCAAGAACCGGCCGGGATAAAAACCCGCGACCTCTTTGGTCCATCATTTCTAATGGATCATGAGATCCAGCTGTCCTTATCGCAGGTTCGTAGACACCGAGTTTAACGCAACAATAAAGATTGATATATTAAAAACTAGATGAGCGAATATCTGCTTAATAAACAATTATCTTACTGTCTTACTCCTACGCTTATATTATTCTAATCTATGGTCAATGTAAATTGTTGTCATTTTGAAAACAGTAGGAGAAATTGATAATATAGAGTTGCCTCAATCTTTTGAACATTTTGCTGAAAAATACGGGAAAATTCCTCAAACTATTCCATAATAGCAGGTGAACTACTCCTATATGTGTGAAATCTTTCTGTGAAGTTTCAAGGATCTGGGTTGAAAAGTGTAGAGTTGATCAGTGATGATTACACAAATTTGCTAGTCTTCTGAAAATTTTGCTCAAAATGAGTTCCCAAGCCTGTAAGTTTGACAGGGAAACCCTCAAGACAATTCCTTTGCAGTAGTTGGATAACTTTTTTTGTGAAATTGAAGAGATCTGGGTTAAAAACTTAATCAAACCCAATAAACTGTTAAACCTCCTTTGTGGAATTTTGTAGGACATACCTAAATGCATCAACATACCGAAATTATGCGTTTTCATGAAAATCTATTTTCAGCAATATCCAAGAACCACACAATTAACATTGGGGCACTCAAACATCTTTTTTGCAATAAAGACTAAAATTAGAGGCTATTTGAAGACTTGATCCCTCATTTTGGCAAAATTATTTTCCATACGGAGTTATTTTTCAATTTTCCATGCGTCATTTTTTTCCAATAACAAATTATCTATTTTAAATTGAAAATAATTAGTTTAAGGAAATAAATGATCATGGAACACCTGAAAGAATCAAACCAATAATTCAAGGTTCCATTGTTTTCTATGGTAAAATCTCCAATTTTGGACATTCATAGACATTTTGTCTAAATTCTAAATTTCATTTCATGGTAAAACAATACCTTATTTTGGCTTGTGCTGAAAAATTCAACATACCTTTAATTTCATATAAGAGCGCAATGGTTTCTGGAAGTCCAGAAATACATTAACAGGTACTTCTGATCAAGAGAAACCGACAAAATATGCACTTCTATTTCATTTTCATTGTTGAAATTAAACAATCAACAAGAGTTCAACAGTGATCCCAGGTCCTAAGGATTTCATTTCAAAACATAAACTGTTGACACAGAGATATGTCTCGGCTTTTTTGGAATTTTGATAGTATAATGCCAATGTTGAAATTAAAATGGCAATAACTATGCCAAACATTCAAAGTCAATCAACCATGACTGAAGGAGTAGGGCCAAATAACTTCCATGAATCATGATGAGGAGGAAGGGCCATAAAATCTCAATGGAAATGAGACATGTAAATGCTAATACAACTGCATACCAAATATCCTTGACTTAACATAAGTGGTTTATCTTAAACTGATCTAATCACAAACTATAGCATTAAAACTATGCAAAAAATTACCTTAATATTTTACCTATTTTGAAAGTTTCAGCTATGGGTAGGAACTATTTTGTATGAAATAACTTCTTTTTTTTCTTATATGTTTTTCCTGAGCATGCTCAAATTAGTTGTACTCTACCTGAACAAAAAACACATTTGAAGAGCTCTGTGTTCTTCTAATTGTAGGTTTTTGTTGTCTGTGATAACAATATTATTAAGTGAAGTGCTTTTCTGAACTGGTTTTTATTTTCGGTACCTCTATGTACCTTTTGTTATTAAACTTACTGACATAGAAAGGGTACAGATGAAAAGAGTACAAACTAGTTTAACCCCGCTGCATTCTTATGTGCCTGTCCCAAGTCAGGAGCCTGTAATTCAGTGGTTGTAATTTGTTGCTGTATATTATATTTGTTTTTTTTTCATTGCTTTGTAAATAAATCAGGCCGTTAGTTTTCTCGTTTGAATTGTTTTACATTTGTCATTTCGGGGCCTTTTAGAGCTGACTATGCAGTTTGGGATTTGCTCATTGTTGAAAGTCATACAGTGACCTATAGTTGTAAGCTTCTATGCCATTTGGTCTCTGGTGCAGATTTGTCTCATTGGCAATCATACCACATCTTCTTAATTTTATATTGAACAACATATCTATGAGCATGTACAAGTCAGAAACCTTTATGATTGCTATATCAAAGTGTTCAACTACAATTCTGGACAAAGGAAGATAACTCCAACTTTTAAAGATGACTTTAACAATGACATCATTGATATTTTTAGAACAGATATTAGATTACTGCACCTTGCAAAAGTTGTGTAATTTTCTTGGCAAGTATAACATCATTTTGTGACTTGAGTGTTTATTTCATTGATAAATTTCTGAAATGTTCATGGATGGGATGTATAGAATGTTATGATCAATGCACTATATTTTGTGTATCTCAAAAGTAGTGATAAACCTTGGAAGATTTGGATATCAAGTCAGTACCATAGGGCTTTGATTGCATTTCATGCAATCTTTACCCAAAAACAGTTGGTGACTTTTGTGGTTATTTTTGGCATTGTTGGATTACCTTATCATGAGCCCTGATTCATGATATATACATATACCCCATATCTCCTTTTATTCATAACAACAAAATTATGGTTTAGCAAGTCATTTATTGTTTACAACAAAAATAATAGTAAAAAAAGCACCATCTATTCCATACATACACAAATAATATTTCTCATTCACTCCAGATTTCAAGTCGCATAATGAAAATGCATTCTAGCATTGATGAAACAGAAATTCATTGATTTTAGTTTGGAATCCATGTGAATATCCTTTGTTTATTTAGGTTCTTTCTTCACATATAAAGATTTGAAACCTTTGAGAATATATAACCAGATTGTCAAATTAAAATTGATTTGTTATTGTGATCTTAATTCAAAAGCTGATCAAATATGTTATCCAATGAGATTTATAACATTTCTTTTAATTTTTTTTTGCGTAATGTTTCAGTTGGTATAAAAGATGCTGCCACTATTACAAAAAAAAGAAATAAAAAAAAGTTACAAATCACAATTTTACAATTAAATCCTTTTTGAAGGCAAATGCAAGTTTATACTCACAGCAACTTGTTACAAAATGCAACATGTAGAGGAAAGCCAGGGGAATATTCTGTTACATATAAATGCAGTAAAACAGATGCATAATTCCTGGCTTAATCTTGGTTGATTTTCTACCTCTCCATAGAAATCGTTTTTATGTTTTTGAGGTTACTTAGGTGTAACTTTAATTTGCTGTGAAATTGGGTTTTTTTTGCTAAGAAGGCATCAACACTGCCAGGGCCATGCAAAATAATGATAACAGTTAGGGATAGTTCTGATTATAATTACTAGTAAAAGAAATTTATCTGTAATCCTTGAAACAAAATAATCTAAACAGCAGTTTTAATTTCATTTTTCACAAATTTAAGTCAAAATACCACAAATTAACTGAAACAGGTCAGGCTATAAATAGACTCATGTCCCTCTATCTTAAGAGTGCTATCTTCTAATATCTCAAATTAGTTAAAGAAATTAATAGACATCATTCCACTCTTCTTCGAATGTGCAGTTGAACTGCAAACTGTGCATAAAATAGGACATTTTTGTACCCTCTGTGACAAAAAAACAAGAGCCTACACTGTAAGGTAATCAAAATAAAATGTACTCAGAGAACACAGCTTTGACTGTAGAATGTGTGCAACTACACAAAATACAGTCTGTCATTTTTCTTCTTCTTAAGAACTCAAGTTATTAATATACTTAGATCAATGGACAATTTTCTCACCAGGATCTGATCCCACCCAAATTCAAAGATAGGTCCTGTTAAATTTTGTGTGTGTGTCAATAAATACTTTTATAACCAACTGTCAACTCTTTACTAACATAATGATATTGTAGAACCAGAATCTACATTCCAACTAGCCTTATTGTCAAGTAGATAAACTTGAAAGAACATGCACCAATTTTTGGCAAATAAACTTTTGCAAGATTAGAAGAAATTTCTATACCAATACTATTTTCCAAGTTGAAGTCAAGCATATAAGTGTATATAGCATAGAATTATTTTCTTTAACAATCATTAATGTTTGGATCATAAATCTCCTGTGTGTTTTTCTTAATGTCAATAAGTTGCATATAAATTTGGGAGTGAGTGTAATATGTAATATATATATATCATTCAATCAATTTCATATATATCCAAATGAATAAAATGTCATAATACAAAATGAAGCACTAATGATACGATGATTACAAACATTTATTGTCTGATTTCTTTGGCATGGAGTCCACTGGGTGATTGGCAAAGAACATCTCCATTGGTTTATTTATTCTCCAGTATCGTTCATTCACTTGGTGAAGGGTCATGGAACCATTTAATGAGGTATAGTTACCCGGTGTACTGGCAATGTAGATTACATAATTTGTTTCCCCTTTACTTCTACCTGTAATTAATAAGTACATCTAAACTTTTCATGTATTTCAATCTTTACATTAAAAAGTGTAAGATAAATATTTAACATGGCATTTTCAATGTATTAGTTAGTAGGGGTGTGTAAGAAATGCATCAGAGATATATATAAAGACATTTTTAATTTGCTAGCAGCTAAGCCTCTATTTATCACAGATCTATGACATCTATGTATACAAAATGAAGCAAAGGCAATTTAAATTTAAAGAGAGAATCCATGTTTTATTATAAATCTCATTTTAACACACAAGAGACATATTGTAAAACTGCTTGACAAAAAAAGACAAATTTTTCATTTTACACTTTTCAATTTTAATTTTTATGATATATAGAAATTTTCACATCCTATTCAATATGTATGTTTTAAACAATCTTTCTTTCTTATAAGCATTCTTGTCATTTATGATCAATGATATTTTAGTTTCACTTTTACCAATTTTCAAAGTAACATTATTTGAATATTTTTTTGCAGAAAATTTATGGATTGTTCAATATTTATCTTATTTTCAGTAAATATTTTATGTAGCATCATTTCTATAATAGGAGGTGGTGGTTGGTGTTTATACCATGAATTTGATAGAAAATTAAAAACAAAAACCAACAGTCATGACAATTTTGCAAACTTTGTGATAATGAAAGATAAGCAATCATAAATATTTCTAACTTTTATATTGCTGTATACATGGTAGTAACTTAATAGTTATTTTGCAAATTGATAGTAACTATCAAAAGGTTTATTAAAATACAACAAGTAAATATACATGTACATTAATTAATTAGTATGAAAATAAATATACCAGTAGATGCAAGAGAACTCAATCCTTAAGTCTTTTTACAGGTTTGTAATATTTTCAGTTATACCCCTGTTACTGTTTTTCACAATTAGTTTTCAGTTTAAGTTTTTTCAAAATGCTTTTTTAACATTCATTTAGCATTCTGCAGGGTGCAGCTTGATAAGACTGCAGAGGTTGAACCCTGAACAGTTGGGGTAAGTGTGTACACACAATTCAAGTTTGATACAGCTCTGAATTTGGATTGTGATTAAATATTTGACACAGCATAGTCTTCTGACACTGAATGAATGTGGTCTAAGATTTTAAAAATTTGATAGTTGAATATTTACCTTATATGGTCCAATATCCAAAATCTAACTACAAAGTTTGATTAAGCATATCAAAGAACCATAAGAATTCAATTTTTGATGAAATCAAACAAAAAATGTTTAATTTTGGACCCTTTGGACCCCGATGTGGACCAATTTGATAACAGGGTCCAAAATCCAAATACATGGTTAGACTCAGCATATCAAAGAACCCCATGTATTCAATTTTTGTTGAAATCAAACAAAATTTAATTTTGGACCCCAATTTGGATCAACTTAAAAACTGGGCCAAATATTAAAAATCTTAATACATGTTTAGATTCAGCATATCAAAGAATCCCAAGAATTCAATTTATGTTAAAATCAAATTAAGTTTAATTTTATACCCTTATGACGACCAATTTGAAAACCAGGCCCGAAATAAAAAATCTAAATGCATGGTTAGATTCAGCATATCATAGGACCCAAAGAACTAAATTTTTGTTGAAATCAAACAAAGTTTAATTTTGGACCCTTTGGACCTTATAAATGTTGACCAATTTAAATAAAGAGCTGTGCCAAGGCCGCATAATACACCTGCCGCTTTTTCAAAGAATAAAGTTCCATAACTCCTCAATGTCATATCAGAAATTTATAATAGATATAAACCAGTCACCAAAGTTTCATGAAAAACTGCTGAAAGCACTATTGAGTTAATGTCCGAAAACTGGAAAATCCCCCCTTTTTTATGAATAAATACTCACAACTTGGAAACATAAAATCATAAATTTATAAAAATCGAAAAGGCGCTTACGTCAACAGATATAAACAATTCACCAAAGTTTCATGAAAAATGCTCAAAGGTATACCATAATACGTCCCGTAAACGGGCGTATAAAAAACGGGGACCATAATCCAAAATCTTAATACATGGTTAGATTTAGCATCTTATAGAACCCCAAGAATTCAAGACTTTGAATTAAACCTAATTGAAATTGGTCAAGAAATAAGCAATTTATACAAAGTATTTGATAAGTATTGTTTTTGGCCTCTTACTCCTAAATGGTTATGGCCATAACCCCAAAAATCAATCCCAACCTTCCTGTGAGGTATGGAATCTTTTGGTACAATTTCATAGAGATCCATACACTTATACACAAGGTATTGTCCTGAAACAAGAAAAAAATGCTTGTTTTTGACCTCTAGAGATCCATACACTTACATGTATACTCAAGTTATTGTTTGGAAACCAAATGTCTTCAGACGAAGACAACGACAACATTGCCATACCATTGACAAAAAGAGAGAGTTTTTTACTGGGTAATAACTTTAAGGTAATTTGATATTATTAAATTTCATGCCCACTGTGCAGAATGTTTCACATGATATCGTACAGATAAAAAAAATAAAAGTTTTATACTAAATATGTTGTTCGATTAAAAATGTTGGATCTTTTGATTGAGCTCAAGTGTTTAGTAAATTACATGTGTTTAATCACAATTATTTTACAGGAATTGTGATGTTGAGATTTGAGTTATCAAAGATAGAAAACTAGTAGAAACTTCTAATCATATCTATTACTATTAGATCTCATTAATTAGTATATGAGATTTCTCCGGTATTGATAACAATGCATGTTGATGTGGTTCATAAGTGTTTCTTGTTTTTTATATAGATTAGACCATTGGTATTCCCGTTTGAATGGTTTTAATCTAGTAATTTTTGGGGCCCTTTATAGCTTGCTTTTCGGTGTGAGCCAAGGCTCGGTGTTGAAGACCGTACTTTGACCTATAATGGTTTACTTTTATAAATTTTGACTTGGATGGAGAGTTGTCTCATTGGCACTCATACCACATCTTCTTATATCTATATATTCAAATGTGGCTACAGATGAATTATTTCTTTTTTTATTTTATTCCATATACATGTAGAAACAAATTATCTCCCTTTCCACCACAATTTCATATGTTTGCGTTTACTATAAACAAAATATCTTTCTTAACTCATTGAAGAGCTATATTTTAAGAAAGCTGTTCTCTAGCTTGTTAATTGAGAAATTTGAGGAAACATCTTACATAGACTTTTTTGGCTATTTTGATAATGTCAACGTCTCTATTTTCCCTATTATGTCAATCTATTTATTCTACGGCACCTCACACTTGCTATTTTCTTCCTCATCTTTTTGATTCCATTACTTTGTAGTTTGAAGTTTAAAATATAAAAGAGGACATATAGAAATGTCTTGTCTGCTTACTGAATTTTTATGTAATAAGTCTTTAAGATAAAGGTTAGATGTACTATAAGTATCACATAGAGTTAACATTATCAATGATGCATGAAAATGAGGTCAGATGAACCCTGTAAGATTGGCATGTACACCTTACAATCATTCCCTACACCAAATAAAGCTGACCTATTGCCTATAGTATCAGAGATGCAGATCTTATCATAAAATTAATGTTGACCAATAAAACATGAATAGGATACGAGGTCAAGGTCAGATGAACCCTACAAGAAAGACATGTATTAACCATATATAGTTGACCTTTTGCATGTAGAATTTGAGAAAGAGACCTAACCACGAAAACTTAATGCTGATAACTGAACCCTGTCTAATAGACATGTATGCCTTGCAATGGTTCTATATATATGCTAAATATATTGCAATGGTTCCATATACATGTAGATACTAAGTATAGATGTCTGATTACTCACAAGGAAGCTATTAAACCAAGAGTTCCAAGTGGTGAAGTTGAAACCATCCCTTCGTAAATTTACAGACGCCACCACAAGTTGGTTGACCCTTATGGAATATCTGTTTCATAGATGACAACAGATATGTTCCAATTGTGGTAACCACCATCCTGTTCTCTATTCCCCAAACGTGACCTACTGGATTAAACCGGTTTGTTATTACATGAGCAACAAGACAGGTGCCACTCAATATGTGGAGCAGGATCTGCTCACCTTTCCTGAACACCTGAGATCACCCCTTGTTTTTGGTGGGGTTGGTGTTGCTCAGACTTTGGTTTTCTATGTTGTGTTTTGTGTACTGTTGTTTGTCTTTTCATTGTTTTTTAGTTTTTTGCCATGGCATTGTCAGTTTGTTTTTGACTTACGAGTTAGAATGTCCCTTTTATATCCTTCACAAAAAAATAATGTTTTTTGAAGATGCATTTTTTTTTTAATAGCGACAAATATTTCTGGTGCCAACATTTTTTCCATGTAAAATTATGACTTTTAAAATTAATGACATTATTGGTAATAAAGTTGATATCAGGGCCATTTACAGGTATGTTGTTGTTTGCTAGCACATGCCAATAATCTCTTGCAAAAGAAAACAGATTAACAAAGGGTGTATTCATAATTTTCAGTAAGTATAAATAAAGGTGATCAGATGGTTGCATTAAATGTAATGAACACTGATTAACAGGAGTTTGTAAATTAATAACAGTTTTTTAGGAATTTATCGCAAGAGAAGCCCTGCATGTGTCCAATTATAGAAGATTTTTCCATTTCTAAAAAAATGACTTACTTTGCTCTCCTTTTGCTGCATCTAATGAGAGTCTAATGGCCAAGTATTTAGAAAGATGATCAACTGAAATATAAAATTATAAATTAAGTCAAAAGCTAAATCAAACTGGCTGATCATGTCTGCGACACTTGACATTACAATAAATAACTTAAATAACAAAATGTATTCAGGGTCCTCACAAAATTGAGTCAAAGTCCCCTTAGTTGAATCTGAAAAATCAGACTGGACTCACCATTTTATATCCTGATGAATCAAAATAAAAGTTGCATACAAATTCCATCAGTTGAATCCAGCATAAGTTATGTAAGCCATATTTTTCTGATTCTATTTTCACCAGACAACTTAAAAGATTAAATACACTGAATTGTATATTTCTCAAGACCTTTGGACTCACAATGGCCAAAATTGAGAAATTCATGGAACTGCTTGTAAATATCTTTTACTGGCAGCTTAAATTTGGTATTAGAAAAACAAATGCTGTTTCAAAATCAGTTGTCCTTCTCTTTTAAAAAATCTTATAAATTCTACCCAATTACTTTCTTGAGCCTTTTATGGCCATTATTGTAAAATATATATATATATAAAAAGAAATTTTCCAATAATTTCATCAATTTAAAATAAAAAAGTCAATCAACATTTCTTATGACTATTAAAAAATAAAACCTTTAATTTGAAATGACAAGGACTTGTATCCTTTGATTGAAAGAGTAAGTTCACCTGTAGCATTGGCTGTGGTCTTTATAAATCTTGTTTGCAATGTATCAATGTTTTGATCATCTGTTGGTAAAGATCTGAACACCAGCTCTATGTCACTGGCTGGTAGTTCTGTCATTGGCTGCTCGCCATCAGAGTCTTCTGTCGTTTTTGTACGTTTTAATGGTGTTGTATCATTCGAAGTAGTGCTGGCTGTTTCAAGCTTTGACAAATCTGCCTCTGTGTCATGTTTTCGAACCCTCACTCGCTGAGCTCTGTTCATTGCCTGCATCCTCAAACCTTCTTCAATGCTGTAATATAAACATGTAAAACAGTATAATAAAAACAATAAATTGCTTCGCTGAGCGCAGCTGGATACGACCGCAGATGTCCAAACCTGAAAAGTTGGGGCCAAAATGGACACAATATTCACGCTTGATACAGGTTTGAATTTGGATTGTAATTAAATTTTTTACACATAATAGGTTTCGGACACAGAATAACTGTAGTCAAAGAACTTCAAATTGGTTATATGATTTGAATTTATATTCAATTTTTTTGCTTTTGTGCAATACACTATGCGAATTGACCCCCCCCCCCCCCAAAAAAAAATAAAATTTTACCCCGTTTTTTTGCGTTTGTGCAATACACTATGCTGTTGAATATTAACCCCCCAAAAAAATGTTTTGAAGAAATTTTCTTTTAATTTCTGAAATCTGAAATGAGAAAAATTGTCCCCCTCCAATTTTTTTCACCTCCCCCCTTTCCCTTATTCCAAAAAATAATTCTTTCCCTCAAGTTATGGTCAGTATCTCAGACAATCATCATTTCTTAATACATAATTTACAAGCAGTGTAAGGGAGGTAATCAAACATTGTTATTTAAATTGATTTGGATTTTGATTTGGATTACCTCCCTTACACTGCTTTTAAATTGTCTCAATTGTTCTTTAACCAGAAAAACCCTTGTTTTCCCCTTTTTTTGCCCCTAATTCCTAATTGGTTTGAGCCATAACCCCCCAAAGTCAATCCTAACCATCCCTTTGTAGTATGGAAACTTGTGGTATAATTTCAGAGAGATTCATACACTTTAACACAAGTTATTGTCTGGAAACTACAAAAATGCTTATTTGGGCCCTTTTTTGGACCCTAATTCCTAAACAGTTGGGACCATAACCCCCAAAATCATACCCAACCTTCCTTTAGTAGTTATAAACCCTGTGTTAAAATTTTATTGATTTCTATTTACTAGTACTAAAGTTATTATCCGGAAACCATCTGTCTTCGGACGACTCTGACGACGTGATACCAATATACGACCAAAATTTTTTTTAATTTCTACGGTCGTGTAAAAATCCCTCTCCATTTGGAAATATAATTTACATTTCAAATATTATCATGATTATACAAAAAGACTTTTAACTATATTATAGATGTGAACACAGTTAAATGGTCATGATGGTTATCAATTGTTTGAAAAAAACAGAAAGTAATCAAATGGGTACTTTTTATGGTTTTTGGGCTTGTTGGAGTCTGGATTAAATGAACAATAATTTCTAATACAGTGGTCAGGTATTTTTCATAAAATATCAAAATCAACAAATTATTAAAACCATCATACTTTTTTAATTTGCTGACAAAAAGCTATGACCCATACTACCTAACCAGAAACTCTTTTTTTACTTTTGAAAAAAATTAAAATCCCAACTTATAGAGTCTGAACTAAACCATTTTTTTTTTTAATTTTAAAATGGTTAGTGTGTTAGTTGTACAAATGTTTCTAGTGCTATGAAGAATTAGTCACATTGACCATGTTGACAGTAAACAAAATAAAATGCTTCGCTGGGCGCAGCTTGATACGACCGCAGAGGTCGAACCCTGAACAGTTTGGGCAAGTATGGACACAACATTCAAGCTTGATACAGCTCTGAATTTGGATTATGATTAAATATTTGACACAGCATAGGTTTCTGACACAGAAAGAATGTGGTCTAAGAACTTGAATTTTTTTAATTTACCTATTAGGCCAATTAAAATTAATTGATAGATTTTCATCCCCGCCCGCCCCTCTGAAATCGTTCCGCCCCAATTTTTTTTATTTTGAAAAATTTACGATTTCCGGATTTTGTTCATTTTCGTTACCGGTAACTGTCGATAATTTCGTTTCATTAATAACATCCTGTTTCAAATTTTGGTTTTTGCATTTCTTTGTATGTTTGATTCGTTATACATGTATATACATGATAGAACCTTATCATTACACTTGCATATATGAAGAACACGTCACAAGAGCGTTTCATATCTAATAAAAAATAAAAAATAAAATCCTCCCACCCACCCCATTTTTTTCAAAAATTTGGATGAAAATCTACTAATAAAATTTACTTGGCCTTATGGTCCAATGTCCAAAATCAAAATACATGGTTAGATTCAGCATATCAAAGAACCCCATATATTAAATTTTTGTTGAAATCAAACAAAGTTTAATTTTGGACCCCAATTTGGACCAACTTGAAAACTGGGCCAAAAATCTAAAATCTAAATACATGTTTAGATTCAGCATATCAAAGAACCCCATATATTCAATTTTTGTTGAAATCAAACAAAGTTTAATTTTGGACCCCAACTTGGACCAACTTGAAAACTGGGCCCATTATCAAAAATCTAGACACATGTTTAGATTCAGCATATCAAAGAACCCCATATTTTCAATTTTTGTTAAAATCAAACTAAGTTTAATTTTGGACCCTTTGGACCTTAATGAAGACCAATTTAAATAAACTGCTTCGCTGAGCGCAGCTAGATACGCCCGCAGAGGTCCAACCCTGAACAGTTGGGGCAAAAATGGACACAATATTCAAGCTTGATTCAGGTCTGAACTTGGATTGTAATTAAATATTTGACATATTATAGGTTTCCTAAATAAATGTAGTCAAAGAACTTGAAATTGGTTATATGAATTGAATTTATATTCAATTAAAGATTTCTTGCTGTTGTGCAATACTGTAAATCTGTTGTCAGACTATAAACAAATAAAGTTCAATTAATTCTCAATGTCATATTTGAAATTTATGAAAATAAAAAGGGAGCTTACATCAATAGATATAAACAATTCACCAAAGTTTCATGATAATTGGTGACAGCATTTTTGAGTTATTGTCCGAAAACTGAAAAATCACCCCCTTTTTTAATGACTAAAACCCCGTAACTCAGAAATGTAAAATGTAAAATTTATAAAATTCTAAAGGGAGCTTACACCAATACATACAAACAATTCACTAAAGTTTCATAAGAATTGCTGAAAGCATTTTTGAGTTTTTGTCCGAAAACTGGAAAATCCCCCCTTTTTTTATGAATAAAACCCTGTAACTTGGAAACATAAAATCTAAAATTCATAAAAATCGAAAGGGAGCTCATGTCAATAGATATAAACAATTCACCACAATTTCTTGCAAGTTGGTGAAAGCATTCTTGACTTATTGTCCGAAAACTGGAAAATCCCCCTTTTTTTAATGAATAAAACCCCATAACTCAGAATCGTAAAATCTAAATTTTATGAAAAACGAAAGGGAGCTCACGTCGATAGATTTAAACAATTCACCAAAGTTTTATACAAATTAGTTAAAGCATTTTTGAGTTAATGTCCGACATGTTGACGACGGACGGACAGACGGACGGACGGACAACGGTATACCATAATACGTCCCGTAAACAGGCGTATAAAAATGTTCACAGAAGAGTTCTAACAAAGTTAATTTTCCATATTTTTTACAGTTCCAGGGGTATATAACTGATTTTTGCCAATGTAAACCTTTGAGTTAAATTTCAAAAAGTTTGACAAGTAAGCCCTTAAAATGCTGATGCTAATATAATTTGAATTTCCAAGGGACATAACTTCCCTAAAAATATTTTTCCATCTCATCCTATATATTTCCAACCTTTGACATGAATTATCTTTAAAATCAAATGAGAACTAAAGGTGTAAGAGCACTTACAACATCGAGGGACAGAATTCAGAGCTTACATATCTGTGCTTTGCAGCTGGGGGAAAACATGAATCAGTAAATTATGCAAATTATGATATGTATGGATGACATAACTGTGAAATCATAATTAAAGATTTTCCTCTGATATAGCCTGTAAACTTTGGAAAATTACCAAATTTTGAAAGAGTTTGGGCACTTTTTTTATTTTTGTGATTCATGGGTAATACTTTTAACTCTAAACATACTACCTTTCAAAATTTATTAAAAACTGCTTCGCTGAGCGCAGCTGGATACGCCCGCAGAGGTCTAACCCTGAACAGTTGGGGCAAAAATGGACACAATATTCAAGCTTGATACAGGTCTGAATTTGGATTGTAATTAAATATTTGACATACATCTATTATAAGTTTCTGAATAAATGTAGTCAAAGAACTTGAAGTTGGTTATATGAATTGAATTTATATTCAATTAAAGTTTTTTTGCTGTTGTGCAATACACTGTGCTGTTGCGCAATACTTAGTAAATCTGTTGTCAGACTATAAACAAATAAAATTTATAAAATTCTAAAGGGAGCTTACATCAATAGATATAAACAGTTCACCAAAGTTTCGTACAAATTGCTGAAAGCATTTTCGAGTTTTTGTCTGAAAACTGGAAAATCCCCCCTTTTTTAATGACTAAACCCCATAATTCGGAAATGTAAAATCTAAAATTTATAAAATTCTAAAGGGAGCTTACATCAATAGATATCAACAATTCATCAAAGTTTCATGAGAACTGCTGAAAGCATTTTTGAGTTATTGTCCGACAACTGGAAAATCCCCCTTTTTTTTATGAATAAAACCCCATAACTCGGAAACATAAAATCTAAAATTTATAAAAATCCAAAGGGAGCTCATGTCAATAGATATAAACAATTAACCAAAATTTCTTGCAAGTTGATGAAAGCATTCTTGAGTTATTGTCCGAAAACTGGAAAATCCCCCTTTTTTTAATGAATAAAACCCCATAACTCGGAAACGTAAAATCTAAAATTTATAAAAAACGAAAGGGAGCTCACGTTAATAGATATAAACAATTCATTAAAGTTTTAAGCAAATTGGTTAAAGCGTTTTTGAGTTAATGTCCGACATGTTGACGACGGACGGACGGAAAGACGGACGGCCAGACGGACGTACAACGGTATCCCATAATACGTCCCGTAAACGGGCGTATAAAAACAGGACCTAAAAATTAAAAATCTAAATACACGGTTAGATTTGGAATATCAAAGAACCCCAATAATTCAATTTTTGATGAAATCAAAAGAAGTTTAATTTTGGACCCTTTTGACCTCAATATGAACCAATTTGATAGCGGGGTCCACAAATAAAAAATCTAAATACATGGTTAGATTCAGCATATCAAAGAACCCCATATATTCAATTTTTGTTGAAATCAAACCAAGTTTAATTTTGGACCCCAATTTGGACCAACTTGAAAACTGGGCCAAAAATCAAAATACATGTTGAGATTCAGCATATCAAAGAACCCCATATATTCAATTTCTGTTAAAATCAAACAAAGTATAATTTTGGACCCTTTGGACCTTAATGTAGACCAATTTGAAAACTGGACCCAAAATTAATTTTAAAATCTAAATACACGGTTAGATTCGGCATAACAAATTAATAAATGTGGTCAAAGATTTTACAAATCTTATGCACCATACAGTGCAATTAAAGATTACTTCTTTAAATTTTTCAATATTTGAAATTTGAAAAAAAAAAAAATATTTGAAGAATAATTCTTTTTAATTTCTGAAATCTGAAATGAGAAAAAATTGACCCCCCACAAATTCTTTTTACCCCCCCCCCCCCCCCTTTTTTTCCCCAAAAAATTCTTTCCCTCAAGATATGGTCATAATCTCAATTCAAATTTCCAATGGAGTTTGCAACCATAATTACCCATTTAAATTTACCATAGTGCTAACTTAATCTATTTTATAATAGAATTTAAAATATAGTGTCAAATCTTTCATATGGATTTTTTTGTAAAAAAAAAGATGCCACATTTGCAGATATTTTTACTGGTCTTCCTTTATAAATATGCATTTCTTTTAACATAATTTAAAAGCAGTGTAAGGGAAGTAACCAAAACGTTGTATTTGGATTACCTCCCTTATATTGTTTTAAATTATCTTAATTGTTCATTACCCATTACTTTATACATAATTTAAAAGCAGTGAAAGGGAGGTAATTTCAATGATGTATTTGATTTATCTCCCTTACACTGCTTTAAATTATGTTTTGTACTAAAGTATTTGTCCATTAACCAGGACAACCTTGTTTTTCCCCCTTTTTTGCCCCTAATTCCTAAATGGTTTGAGTCATAACCCCCCAAAGCAAATCCTAACCATCCCTTTGTGGTATGGAAACTTGTAGAATAATTTCAGAGAGATCCATACACCGTTCCACAGTTATTGTCTGGAAACTAGAAAATGCTTATTTTTGGCCCCTAATTCCTTAACTGTTGGTACCATAACCCCCAAAATCAATTCCAACCTTCCTTTTGTGGTATTTAACCTTATGGTAAAATTTCAAAGAGATCCATTCACTTAAACTAAAGTTAGAGTGCGAAAACCAATGTGTCTTCAGACGACGACGACGACAACAACGACAACGCCTAGGTCATACCAATATACGACCGCAAAACTTTTTTGCGATCGTATAAAAATGAATATTGATTTTGTTCTCTTCATTACACTAGGCCATGTGTTAGACTTGTTGTTTTCCTGTAAACATAGCACTCTTGACTGTCAGGGTTTATTATATTGAAGATAATAACCAAAAACTGCAAAATTTTCTTTAAATTACCAATTAAGGGGCAGCAACCCAACAACGGGTTGTCTGATTTGTCTGAAAATTTCAGGACAGATAGTTCTTGACCTGATGAACAATTTACACATTTGCTCTAATGCTTTGGTTTCAGAGATATAAACTAGAATCTACATTTTACCACTATATTCTATTTTTTAGCCATCAGGTGGCCATCTTGGTTGGTGGGCAGGGTCTTCGGATACATGTTTTAAACTAGATACCCTAAGGATGATTTAGGCCAAGTTTGGTTCAATTTGGCCCGGTAGTTTCATAGAAGATTTTTGTAAAAGTTAACAAAGGATGACGGACGCCAAGTGATGAGAAAAGCTCACTTGACCGTTTGGGTCAGGTGAGCTAAAAAAGGAGAAATATGTAGCATTATCATCAAAATGAACACTGAAAATGTCGATAAAAAATCTCCAGTATGAGGCCCAAACTCCAGCTGAAAAATTTTAAATCTCCAGTTGTGATTTGACAACTCTGTTACATGTATGGGGTTATCTTAAACAGTAGTTGATTCTACTTATCTTTCTTTCCAGAAATACTATACATGTAATTTTTTAATATTTTCAATTTGTTGATGTACATAATGCATGTAATGTGCAGAGTAAAACATATCAAAACTTTTGTAAGAAAGGTTTAGTTGTATGTTAAGTAGATTTGTATGGATATGACAGATTATGGGATGTCTTCAGATTGTACACAGTGCAATACACAGGTGCAATACACAAATCTTATCGAACAGAGTGAGAGATCTGATTTTAATCAGATTGTATCTGGGTAACCCTTTTGTAACATCTATAAAGAATGGCATTTAGCAATAGCATCATTTCCCAACACTGTCAACATAAAGAAATTGATATAATCAATGCTGACAAGGTTATACCTGTGAGTAAGAGCTGCACTACTATGTTGTTTGTTAAGTTTTGCCAGAACACGCTCCTGATGGGCTTCATATTCATCTCTACTAGGGTATATTTTAGAAATCAAAGCATCAAAATTTGGGTCTGGTCGTAATGATCTCTTAGAAACAAGCTTTTTCCGACAAGTTGGACATTCTTTGTTCCCACTTCTAAGTGCTGTAATAATACATTCTTGACAAAAACGATGTAAACACTCTTTTGTTGTCATCGTATTTTTTAACATATCTAAGCATATCGGACACATAAGTTCACTGTGCAGACTCCTTGGAGACACTGCTATCTCTGTATTATCTGTGATTGCCTCTTGTGGAGTGCGGTGGAGCTCATATAAGCTCAATTCCCAGGTTTTATTCGGTGCATTCGTTACTTCGTTTGCCATCTTTGTATTGTACGGAAGTTGCGGTCGCGCATGCGGATTAACATTTACTAAAGGTTTTCTCAAAGTACAACTTCAACACTTTATTTCCAATATTGTCTCCAATCTCCTGGGGCGTGTTTTTTTGTTCTTCGGTAGTGAGCCAGAAGAGGGCCATTTCTGTTTTTTTGCATAGGGAAGATCTTCTGGCTCTCTTCCGCCTCTTCTTTTTTGATAGGTAGTTTAGACGGCAGAGGCACATAACAAACATGGCGTCGTTTAGTCTAAATGACATTAATAAATTTCTAAATGCAGATATATTAGAATGTGAGCTGTGTTATAAACGTTTTTACGGTATGACAGTCTTAGTAGGACATCCCTGTAGGACGATACGCTGGATAAATATAAGAATTACACGGACAATAACAGTTAAGGGACGACTATTTGATATTCTAGGGAAGGGATTTTGATTGATTGGTGTTTATCGCTACTTTCAACACTAAGTTGGGCTATTCCGTGGTGGTCAGTTTAAATTTATAGATGAAGAATGGGGAAGGGAAGAACTCATTATTAACTTTTTTAATCTGTCGATAATTATGCCTATTTTTCAGCTCTTACCAGGCAACCATGTTCATATATGAAATCCTCCTGTTCCCCACCCCAATAAATGAATAAATATCAAATGGTTTTCTTCTTATTTAACATTACATAACAAAATAATTTACATAATATCAAATATGAGTCGAGACATGAACCAACGACAACCACTAAACTACAGGCTCCTGACTTGGGACAGGCACACAAAGAATATGACAGGGTTGATATAAAAACGAAGATTGCCAATGAGACAACCCTCCACAAGAGACCAAATGACACAGCAATTAATAGCTATAGGTCACCGTACGGCCTTCAACAATAAGCAAAGCCCATACCGCATAGTCAGCTATAAAAGGCCCCGAAATCACAAAGGTAAAACAATTCAAACGGGAAAACTAACGGTCTAGTTAATGTACAAAAAAATGAACGATAAACAAATATGTAACACAGCAACAAACGACAACCTCTGAATTACAGGCTCCTGACTTGGGACAGGCACATACATACAGAATGTGTCGGGGTTAAACATGTTAGTGGGATCCGGCCCAACCCGCCCCCTAACCTGGGACAGTGGTGTAACAGTACAAGAACATGTTTGTGAGCGCTCAACCCTCCCCGAAGCTGGGACAGTGGTGTAACAGTACAATATAAGAACAACCTGCACAAATCAATTGCAATTAAATTAACTCAAAAGATCGGTACGAGACACACAAAAAAAAAGAACAACTTACATTAAGACAATAGACACAAAGCACCGAAATAAGAGTATTTGCAATTACTGCAAGTTTGTTCAAAGCTAATTACAACTAGTACTGAAATAAATCTTGTTCTCCCAGACTGAAGTATCAATCAGTACACAACCAACGGATTTATTGAAAAAAAAAAAAAAAAAAAAACAGTCTGAGAAATGTCTGGTATACATTGTATACTTGCATATAGATCCATATACAATGAAAATTTTTGTAAAGTGGCGGTCCGAAGTTTTTGACCATCGAAATTTTGCAATAGAAATAATAGTTAGGACCAGAAGATTTTCTTCAAGGACCACCAGAGAAAAATGATTTTGAGAACTTTCCGATATCTTTGCTTTATACAAAAATAATCCAGTTTGGTTACTTTAAAAAAATTGGATAGACAAGATGTCCTTTTTGATTATATTCGAGACAAACATTGACGAATTTTTGTGCAGTTTAAGATTATTCTTAAAAATCAAATAGTGGGGGTTTAAGCCTGATTTGTCTAGCAAAATTGAGTTAGAGGAAAGAACAAAGAAAAATGTCACGAACAGAGCACACTTTTACAGTCATGTCTACCGGACGTATCTTAATTTTCTATAAAATCATCGTAAACTTCATTTATGTCATCCAACATAACAAAAATCTGCTATATTCGACGGCAAATTGAATTTTTTGTTTTATTGATCTTCCGTAGAATATCTCCAGAAGAGGTCCAGATTCATTTTTTTGGACTCTTCACCAGAAGACATTCTGGAGATGTGCAGAAGAGACCAATAAAACACACCCCTGGACATACTATAGTTATGCATGTTGAAACTAAAAATAACTTTTTTGTATTCGTACTCTAACAAAAATCATAGGGACTTTAGAATTTAGTTAGATGTCATGATTTCAACAAAATAAACTCATCATAGATACCAGCATTGAAATTTTATATTCGCGCCAGACGCGCGTTTCGTTTACAAAAGACTCATCAGTGACGCTCGAATCAAAAAATGTTAAAAAGGCCAAAATAAAGTACGAAGTTGAAGAGCATTAAGGACCAAAAATTCCTAACAGTTTTGCCAAATACAGCTAAGGTAATTTATTCCTTAGGTAGAAAAGCCTTAGTATTTAAAAAATTCAAAGTTTTGTAAACTTGGCAGTTAATTTATAATTATGAACATATCAATGATAACTCAAGTCAACACAGAAGTGCTGACTCCTGGGCTGGTGATACCCTCGGGGAATTAAAACTCCACCAGCAGTGGCATCGACCCAGTGGTTGTAAATAAACTTGACTCATCATAGATACCAGGATTGAAAATTCAAACCGTGATCGAGTCGGTATTCCAATGGGTACACTGAAAACCGGTAAAATAACAATAATACCGCAGTCCATGGAAAATTCAAAACTAAAAGTCCTTTATCAAATGGCAAAATCAAAAGCTCAATCACAGCAAATGAAGGGAAAACAACTGTCATATGTCAGGCATTTCCCTATGTAGAAAATGGTGGATCAAACCTGGTTTTATAGATACCTAAACCTCTCACTTGTATGACAGTCGCACAGAATTCCATTATATTGACAACAATGTGCTAATCGAGCATCCGGCTTCTTGTCGACATTTGTGTATTCTTGTGACGTATAATTCATAGAACCCTTCTCAAAGGGGAAAAAAAAACATTTTGCTTATTTCTTTAATTTCTCATTCGGACATATTGATTTGTCACGTATTGCTGATTTTCTTGCTGGCATTCAACCATGAACTCTAGATAGGACTAACTAAGTATGCACGACATCATCATCTGTGCTAGAAAAAGTAATACACTTTCGCAATACACCGGCATTGATTTCAAATTTGAAAACTGCACTCACATCAGGTAAAAAAAAATGTTGTAACATTACTGAAAATATATAATTCTACAGATTGATTTTTTTTTGTGGAGGGGCGGCATAGGATAGGAATGTATAGATAAACTCGAAACTTTGACCCGCCCATTTTAATCTCTGCCATATGCATGAAATTGTGTTCAGGTAAACCTTGAATTATCGGGCAACTTCAGTTAGAAATTGTCCAGCTAGCCTGATGAAGACGGCTGATGACGTTGTTATGTGTAGCAGGGTTCATTTTTTGCATACGGCGGCATTTTACATCGTCTTTTTAATACACAAGATATGATAGTTTCGCGAGTGATTTAACCACAAGTTTTCCGTGTAAAACATTAACGATCATTAACAGTTTTACTGCATGGTAACTTGCAACCATCATTTTTCAGAGCTTGAAAAAATACACTTGGTGAGTTGCCAGATTGCTTGTACCGTCATTTTGTATTTTAAATACATATTTGATAACTCATTGCTGAAATATTCAATAACTAGCTATTCCTTAATTTACTAGTATTGTCAACTTTATTTTAGAAATGAATCGGATCTCAGATAACCATTTTTTTGCAGAGTAGGTTAACGGTTCAGATGGGGTCACCAAATAGTGCATAAAAATTCATAAAATGCATCAAATTGTTACACTGGTTTCATTATACTTATATGTACGAGCATGTATCACGTACTGGTTTAACTCCACAATAGTTTGTTCCTGTGCCTAATCGGGCTATCTTGATCATGCGTTGTTCGTTGTTGTCACCATTATCCCCTTTATGCATTACATGTATTACTTATCTTTACTTTCCAGCAGAGTGAAGAAAGACACACTTTTCGTCTTTGTTAAATTATATAGAAACAGAAAACAGACCTGTGATTGTAAAGGTTTTTCCACTTTAGTAAATGTTGTCGGGATATTTGTTGAGTAGGCAAGTTAGAGAATTGTTAATTCCTTTAGCTAAAGGTCTGTATAATATTCTTTATTCAGCACAAATTACACCCATAAGAGGGTCAAAGGCATAACAATTACATGTATTAACAACAATATAATGATGACATTTACATTTACATAAAAAACAAAACAAAATATTAAACACATAACACAACAAATGACCTCAAGTGCCCCCTGTCCTCGGTTCTATAGACTGTAAATAATAATGGAGCCTAAAGATTTCATTTGCTGACTAGTGGTTGGATTTAGGATATATTTCATTTTATTATCAGAAAAATCTTTGTATTGAGTTTTTAAATCGTTATATAAGACATGTCTTAAATCATCATTTATTTTACATAATAAAAAGAAATGGGATTCATCATCCAGAATTTTGCACTTATTACAAAGTCTTTGAGGACGTGGCATATTTTTACATCTTCCAGTTTCAATAGCGAGGGAATGATCACTAATTCTAAATTTGCATATAAGTTTTCTTGTATCAATATTAGGGTATGTCAAATAAAATTCTGGTTTATATTCAGTTTTTATATGCTTAAACAAAAAAAGTTTGCTATTTTGGTCAAAAGATGATATCTTATTGTCACATATTTCTTTATATCTTTGCTGAAGTTCATTTTTATAGTATTTTTTTACTAAAATTCTTACAGGCTCTGTTTTTGTTTTTAGTTTCATCTTTGGGTTTGCTAAAATATTATTGTCAGACCTAATATGATTTACATATGAGTACCATGAGTATATACATTGATCATGAAGTGACTTTGAAAGAGAGTAACACTCTTTAAGTAAATTAGATGAGTTTTCACTCAAAAGTCGGTCTTCATACAAAAGTGACTGCGTGGCAATGAAACAATAAAGGGGGAATCTTTCTAATACACATCTGGAGGCAATGATACTAGCACATTTCTTTATTCCAAGTGTAAATTTACAAAACTTACTTAGAATTTTTTCAGGGGACTCTTAATGTCTATAAAACTGAGTTTATCCAAAGGAGAATTATTTTTTCTGGCTCTAGCAATTGCATTATAGAGGGGGGGGGCATTATACTATAATTTGTACACATCCATATACCAAGTTTCACAATTATATGTAAGAATCGGACGAACCAAAGAACCAAATAAATGCACAGATAAATTTGCAGGTAATTCGTTCAGACCACTTGTATAGCTTTTGATAGAGTACATAACTTTAAGAGCTTTTTTCGAAAGTGCTTCAGCAGATGACAATATATGGGATTCACAAACAAAAATCTTGTTCTTTGATTGACATTGGCCTTGTTAGTAGGAACATCAGTTTATTTGTTATGGAGTAACGACAGGCATCTTTTGATCTTAGAATTTATGATACATGTTCCTTGCCAGTGTGTTTATAAACTGACACTAAGTTCAGCTTAGAATTTTATCACTTGAACGACCTAACAGTCTTATAACCGGCCATTCGAAAACAGGTGGAAACCCAGTTGAAATAGAACAAAAGAATCGAAGCTCTTTGTTAGAGAAGGCGATACATGCTTACTGTAATGTTTACTATAGTAACAAAATTTTTAAAAGTTAATAGAAACAAATAAAATGACAATTTTCTGCTAAATTACGAAGTATTTTATTATAAAAACACCATTTGCATAAGTTTTCAATTTATCTATTACATAATTAAGCAGAACAATTAGATATCAAGTCGACGACATGGGTGTCTATTCAGTTGGATCTAAAAAATGCATAACCTCCGATTTAAAAAAAAAATACCACGGACGGAGAACATATCAATCTATTTGTTCCTTAATTTTCGTTTCTGCCCTTCCATTATGTAACTCAACAAAAAATTCCAAAGTTGACCAAATTTTCAGTTATACTTTAATTTTATATTCCAGTACACCCAAATGCTATCACGGTCTGTTTGACTTTTCATAATATACTTTAAATCATTTTTTGAGACGTCTATTGTATAAATTTTTGCTTCAAATAATTCTTATGATCATTTATTTATTTTTTAATATTCAAACACAGGCGGAAACCCAGTTGGAATTAAACAAAAGGAAGTGGAACTCTTTATAATAGAAGGTTAAAAAAGCAAAATTGGCATATTTGAACTGTTTACATCTGTTTCTATGGGCTTTAAAAGTTTAATAAAGGTGCATAATTTATGATTTTATGCATCTTATATACGTGTTTTTACTTGAATTATAGTAAGAAGCTTCGTAAACTTTTAAATTATAGACACATTTTCATAAAGTAGTCGAATGTGGCAGGTTTAAGTCCAAGTGGATCTCTTTTGTGCATAGGCATAAATTCCGCCGATAAAAATTCAACAAAAAGATAATAGATTGATCTTTATAAAGCATTAATTTGCATCTCTGCCCCTGGCGAAAGTTTTTGGGAAAAAATTTCAAAAAATAGGTTACAATTGCATCGAAAAGAGAAAGTCGAGTGCACCTTTTTATGTTGAGCGTGTTTGAGTTGAATATTTTGTCTTGAAAACGTATAAAGCAAAAGAATTTGATACATCATCTCGCTTCAGATTCTATCATTTTTATATATCAAGGCTACAGGTTGACTTTATAACATCGAAAATTCACAGTACTAAAAAATGAAATATATGGGTCAAGTGAAATACCTTTCTAATGAATCACAAAACAGAGTAGGTGTGTTCGAATATATATCAATTTTTTACTAAAAGTTCTTGACGACAGACTTTTAAGTTGGATCTTAAAAATGCATATCTTCGAAAAAACTTCATTTTTTGTGTGTAATATCTAGGGTTTATAGTCTTCAACCACTGAAAATTTTTAGTCTGCCCTTCAACGAAATATTTAAATAGGATTTTTTTTAAATGTTTATGAATTTTCGAAAATTCCCCCCTGACAACCGATCAGACAATAGTTATAAGTTGACTGAATGCAGACAAGTACATTAACTGATGCTCATTAGCTAGTAGATACATTTGTCTTTTAAAATACAACTGGCATATTGAAGGATCGTAATGGTGCTATGTGGATAAATTTATAGGTTTTCAAGAGCTAAATTGGCAGCGCGTCATCCCTACAATGGCTTCCATTTTTACGATTGTAAAAATGAACTGGCGTAATTTGGAGATAATTTTGACGAAGTAGGATCCTGACTGAAAAGAGCCCACGTCATCAAGTCCGTTTTCTTTCACTTTTTATTCATCCGTTCTCTTTCGATTTTTATTCATCCGTTTTTTTTTTTCGCTTTTGGTTCGATGATTGTGCGGCAATTGTCATCGACACGGACTCCACGAAAAAGCCGGCTATGATTCCAATTACATACAAATAAATGGAAAAATGATTGTCAATCCAGATGTGCAGTATCAATCGTTTACATATTATCCATAGTGGTAATTTGTTTATAAACCAGAAACTTATGTTCTGTTATTAAATAATTTATCTCAATAAAACGAATCTAATGATGATCCCAGTTACAATCATCGTAGACGGCCGACTGACATGTCTAATGACACATATAGATAATATACCGAGTATGAAAAAGAGCACTGCAATATATGGGATTATATTTCAGTAAAAGAAAAAAACTTTAGTGATGATTCGTTTTTAAATCAGAAACAGTGGTTAATTGACACCAGAAAAATGTGTAAACCCAAGTTACTTCAAGCAGCATGGTCCAATAGGTTTTCTGGGGGGGGTCATAAAGGATCATAAAGCCATTTCTAAAATTTGTCATTATACAGACTCACTGATATCTCGGCCTATAACAAACTCGGACTATAACGAAATCGGCCTCACAAAATCGGACTATAGCAAACTCGGACTACTAGAAGAATATAAGTATTATAATGGATGTTATTTTCTTTTTTTGAAATTAATTAGCAGTACTTTATTTTAAATTAATGATGACTCGAGTTAGAATAATTGAATGATTTATTTTGAACATTTTACATTGAGTAAGAAAGATAGGTTACGTTAACTAGATATTCACAAAAAGAAAAGTAAGACTAATTTCAGGTGACAATGAAAAGTTACAACTTATTTGGCTTTTCTTTTCTTTTCTCTTATTTTTTATGTACCTTTTAAAATTATTTATCATATGCATGACTTAATTTATTTGGTTAAACTGGGAATATGACATCATACTGCCACGTGTATTGGTGACACATTTGTAATCACCTTAATTTAAACAAATAACTGGCACGTGTACTGTTGACAACTTTCTAATCACCCAAGTGAGAACATTTCTTACATTATTTTTTCTTTTAAATATTTATCATTATCTCATAAATTGGTATATAAATTATGTAAAATAAAAAAAGTGGAAAAAAAACAGTTAATAACACAATCTACAAATCATAGGCCGAGTTTGTTCACTTTATTTCTTCATATAAATAATGGTAGGCCGAGTTTGTTATAGTCCGACCTTACTCAAAGGTATTTTGAAACGCACCCCTTGCCGGAAGTAGATTAACAATATCCATTTTTCGATAGTCGCAAACCGCCATGAACGAGAACGACAAGCCATCAGACGAGTCTACGACACGTTTACTTTTTGGTAAGAAGCAGACGATAAAAAGTACAAAATGTGATATAATTATTATTGAAATACTCCAAAAAGAAAATTTATAACTCAATGCTGTCACGTAATTTGTACTTGTAGCTTCGTTGACAACTGTGGCATCATTGTTTATTCACTTCAAAGACCGAAAAACAAATACTCCTTCTGAAGTTCTGTTTGGCCATGAAGTTTTGACATCTATATAGTCATGAGTATATAGAACTATTTCAGTGATCTTCATGATGAAGCACCACCATTTTTTAACTTATCTTTCACCATCATTTAATATAATTCCTTCCATGGTTTACTTCGACTCCCGCCATATGAATGACGTTACCCCAGTCACAGGGGCTTGTTTTGTGGGTCACTATAAATTATAGGATAGCGATCACCATAGACTGTAAAACTTCGTCTGACCCACTAAACATAGTGACTGTCATTGACTGTAAAACCTCATCTGACCCACTAAACAAGCATCTCTGCACAAGTTATTGAACAATGCCCGGTCAATGGCTTCCCATTGTGAAGTAATAACTTAAGCTGGTGATAAAGGAAATGTATGTACAAATTGCAGCAAAGGCTTTTGACATTAAGATTAAAAAAATTAAACTTTTAAATTCAATTTGGAAGAAAAAGATTGAACATATGCTTTTTTTTTAATATGTATTCCAGATCCCCCTTTTTAAAACAAGTACATTGTACAAGATTAGTCACTAAAATAGTAAACCACAAAAAAATGTGATGTTCGGTTACTTTTACAATACAGGTGTAAGATTGAGACACTATATTTATTGCCCCCTAATAATCTGAAGAAATATTGTACATGTATTGTAAATTAATTCATAATTTATTATCACTGTAATACATATCCCTTAAATTTTTTTTCAAAAGATGCATGGTCTATTTCTATTTCATTTCAATTTTAAACCATTGCCCTCAACAAATCTTCAATAAACATTTTACAAAGTTGAATACAAAATTCCACTTGTTCTGCAATAAAGTTGATTTGTGTTTCATTGTTTTAATATGATGTAAATTCTGAATTGAAATTGACAGTCTGGAAAAATTACCCAGATTAAATAAAAAAATGACCAAAATAGCTAGAAATAATCTTTGGACCATTGGTTCACAATGTATTTAAAGTTTAAAGAGTACTTGGTGTAATTGATGAAACTAATATAATAAACAATATATAACATGTGCAACTTAACTGGGTTTTTCTGTGTAAACGGATATTCCGTTCATATTTTGTCTCATGAAAATATACATCGCTACATGTAGCTCAACCGTTTACGTTAGTGGTAGAGAGGTTTTGGCCTGTGCTTTTGCTCCAGGTCTTTGGACCTCATACTGACAATACTAAGAACCAATCAATTCAACTAATGACAGGTGTCTGAAACCTAGAAAAGACTAGAGGTGACGATTGTGTCAAACAATGTTTTCGCTCATATAACAAATAACCAAGATTCATAAAACAGTTTCATATTTAATAGACAAAGACAATAATACACAATATTGCTGTATCACCATATGAAATTTTAATCCTAAAATTTCAAAACATTTTCGAACCTCACCTTAACGGATAAAACAGGGCGATGCATTTGCTGTGTAAAAATATTCATAATAAATTAACCTAGTAAAATGAAAGTGTTTGGTCTCAGTGCAAAAATAAATGATTAAAATAAATATATTCACACTAGAAATTTAGACGTGATCGATTACTTAAAATATCAAGAGCTGTACACTAGTCGTCTTTTTAGCTCACCTGACCTGAAAGGTCAAGTGAGCTTTTCTCATCACTTTGCGTCCGTCGTCCTGCGTCCGTCGTCCGTCGTCCGTAAACTTTTACAAAAATCTTCTCCTCTGAAACTACTGGGCCAAATTTTACCAAACTTGGCCACAATCATCATTGGGGTATCTAGTTTAAAAAATGTGTCCGATGACCCCGCCAACCAACCAAGATGGCCGCCATGGCTAAAAATAGAACATAGGGGTAAAATGTAGATTTTGGCTTATATCTCTGAAACCAAAGCATTTAGAGCAAATCTGACATGGGGTCAAATTGTTTAATTGGTCAAGATCTATCTGCCCTGAAATTTTCAGATGAATCGGACAACCCGTTGTTGGGTTGCTGCCCCTGAATTGGTAATTTTAAGGAAATTTTGCCGTTTTTGGTTATTATCTTGAATATTATTATAGATAGAGATAAACTGTAAACAGCAATAATGTTCAGCAAAGTATGATCTACAAATAAGTCAACTTGACCAAAATGGTCAGTTGACCCCTTAAGGAGTTATTGCCCTTTATAGTCAATTTTTAACCATTTTTCGTAAATTTTTGTAATCTTTTACAAGAATCTTCTCCTCTGAAACTACTAAGACAAATTTAACCAAAATTGTCCACAATCATCATTAGGGTATCTAGTTTAAAAAATGTGTCCGATGACCCTGCCCGCAAACCAAGATGGCCGACATGGCAAAAAAATAATACATAGGGTAAAATGCAGTTTTTGGCTCATATCTCTGAAACCAAAGCATTTAGAGCAAATCTGATGGTATAAAATTGTTTATCAGGTCAAGATCTATCTGCCCTGAAATTTTCAGATGAATCGGACAACCCGTTGTTGGGTTGCTGCCCCTGAATTGGTAATTTTAAGGAAATTTTGCCGTTTTTGGTTATTATCTTGAATATTATTATAGATAGAGATAAACTGTAAACAGCAATAATGTTCAGCAAAGTATGATCTACAAATAAGTCAACTTGACCAAAATGGTCAGTTGACCCCTTAAGGAGTTATTGCCCTTTATAGTCAATTTTTAACCATTTTTCGTAAATTTTTGTAATCTTTTACAAGAATCTTCTCCTCTGAAACTACTAAGACAAATTTAACCAAAATTGTCCACAATCATCATTAGGGTATCTAGTTTAAAAAATGTGTCCGATGACCCTGCCCGCAAACCAAGATGGCCGACATGGCAAAAAAATAATACATAGGGTAAAATGCAGTTTTTGGCTCATATCTCTGAAACCAAAGCATTTAGAGCAAATCTGATGGTATAAAATTGTTCATTAGGTCAAGATCTATCTGCCCTGAAATTTTCAGACCAATCAGGCAACATGTTGTTGGGTTGCTGCCCCTGAATTGGTAATTTTAAGAAAATTTTGCAGCTTTTGGTTATTATCTTGAATATTATTATAGATAGAGATAAACTGTAAACAGCAATAATGTACAGCAAAGTTAGATCTACAAATAAGTCAACATGACCAAAATTGTCAATTGACCCCTTAAGGAGTTATTGCCCTTTATAGTCAATTTTTTACAATTTTCATAAATTTTGTAAATTTTTGTAAATTTTTACAAAATATTTTCCACTGTAACTACTGGGCCAAGTTCATTATAGATAGAGATAATAGTAAGGAGCAAGAATGTTCAGTAAAGTAAGATCTACAAACACATCACCATCACCAAAACACAATTTTGTCATGAATCCATCTGTGTCCATTGTTTAATATGCACATAGACCAAGGTGAGTGACACAGGCTCTTTAGAGCCTCTAGTTTTCAATCAAATCAAGTTTGTGACATCCAACCTTTCGAGATAAATTAAATATACCCACTGGTTCCCACCGACTTTGTTAGACTAGAACATGAACCTAGTAATTCCATGTACCAGGGACCAAAGTCAGCCCAATAAAAAAAAAACCAGTATGAATATATTCACTAATTCATGAATAAATTTAGACAGTATCAGATTTAGATTTCACAGCGATTTACATGGTATGAGATAAAATTGTCCAAATGAATAAACTGTTTATTTTGCACAGAAATTGACACAGATGGAGAAGGTGATGATGACATACATTTCTGTAAAAGATGTCGTCTTATGTTCACAAGTCTTCAAGATTACCTTGATCATAAAGTACAACATGACAAATACAAAGTTAGTTTCTCAAGGAACGGCAAAAACAGGAAGCTGATTATTCCTAAGCTAATACAACCAGAGGATATTAAACATGAACCAGGAAATGCCAGCGAAATCACTGATAACACAGAACAAGAAATTCACAAGAAGAAAAGAGGTATTATAAACAAAATACAATTTTTTTCATTTTTATGGTACAATGTATCTACATAATGAAACATTTTTAACTTCAATGAAAAATCTTAGTGAAGGAAGATGTGGAGCAAACATCAGTGAGACAGCCACCTAAAAACTTGAATACACAAATAGATATTTTAAGATCACCCTAAATATTTTTTAGATGAATAGATTTGCGTAGCAGTTTCTACTAAAACCAAAAAACTGCAATAAAAATTTTAATCTCTCTGAACAGTGAATGAACATCGGCGATAACTATCTCCTAACTTTTATGTTATAATGAGATGAAGAACAGTAATTGCCTTGGGCTCTGTCAACTGAATAGAGGTGTATGGATTTTGTGTCACGATTTAATGTACCATAATGGCATATCCCTTCTTTACCGTGGTAATTACATGTAACATATTCATTGAGCTGCTTTTGTACATTTATATTCATAAAAGAAATGAGCCTTTTTCTGAAGTTTGTTATTTTTTGCTGCTAAAAGATTTTATTTTGTTTAGTGTTAGCTACATGATAAGTGATGCAGTCTTTTAGAGTACAGGAATTTGGTATGATTACAGGTAGAAAAAGAAAAAGTGAGGAGGTGTTAAAGGAACAAGTACCAGAAGAGAATAACATCTATACCACATCATATACCTGCATGAAGTGTGATTTGAAATTTAATAGGTAAGCAACAGTGTTCTGTAGATGACCTGGGCACATCAGACTAGGGAAGATGGAGACAAATGGTTAAAGTTCATCTTGAAAGTGACATTGCCTAAATGTCTGCATATTGAACACAAACAAAACACATACATTAAGTGTAATTTGGACATCTCTTCTAGGATATTTATAAATAAAGCCCAAAATGAATTGAAATCTACATGTGTACCGTATGGAATGGTGATAAAAAAAAAATTCCAAAAACATCTGGTAAATTTTTTATCTTTTAACATTCATGACATTACTCGGTGCAATATTGAAATTTGTCAGACTTTTTTTAATAACTTTGAATTATGTCAGTTGGAAGTTCTTCAAATTAATGAAAATAACACTTTATAAATTTGGTGCATCCAAAATACTGTTCTACATATCAATAAATGTTACAATTTCCTGAAAAAATGTACAGTTATCTTCAGTAAAAAAATATTTTGTATAACTAGAGAGGCAGCATTGAAGAGACACATAGCTTTTGTTCATGAAGAGGAAACAGCAGAGGATTCAGATGAAGACAAGGTAGATGAGGATTACCTAGAACCAGAATCTGATGAAGAGGATGATAGGAGACCACCAAGAAGTCCTAAACAGTATAATATCATAAAGAATTCAGATGGGGGAGATAGACCTTATGAATGTCACATTTGTCATAATAGGTTTAAAGAGGTATTTAAGAATCTTAACTTTTAACACAGGTTTATTTTAAAGATTAGGGATGTATTTAATTACATGTACGGGGCTCACACTACTTCAGAATCATAGGGAGAAGTGACTTCTCTGTTTGAACCTGAGAGGGAGAAGTGGTGAGATTTGAAAGAGAAGTGCTCGTTCACTCGAGGTGCTACAATGTTTGGTTTTTACTTTAAAATAGTACAAAGGGCCATATGTATCTTATATTTTTTTTTATATTGTTCAATTTGTACCTGGGTATTCAATTAAAGTAACCATGGTAACAGTTCAAATTCAAAGTTGTTTAATTTTATCATATCTAGTTGCACAATCATATTAGTCCTCTTGTCAGAAAAAAACAATTAAATAAATAAAAAAGATTTTTTTTTTTATATCAAAAAGGAGAAGAAAGTTGTTTTATCAATTAAAATTCAATTAAAAACTACTCTGTTATCATGTTTATGAAATTAAGTATTTCTCATTAAAAAGATATATAAATTTAACAGTTTTATTAAACACAGTTAAGCTTGGACATAATATAATTATATTAGTGTAATAGTCCCAGAGTTGAGCAACTTTAATTTATAAATTGAAACAATGCATATACATGGAAATATATACATTAATCAAGTAGATCTAACCAAAAGTATGAATCCGGATTTCGGTCAAAGCTGGTCCGTTTCCGATAAAAACCAGACTCCGATCCATAGTTGTACGATAATTTGCCCAATAATTTCAATGGCGGAGGAAGAAAATTTACAAAAATAAACGATGTTTGACACGCTATTTGGAAAGGAATATGACGTTTTTAATGCAATATAAGGATAACAAATTTACTTCAGGCAAATTTCATCACGTTCTAATGAAGTAACAAACTTATTTTGCTGAAAGTTAGAAATGATATGATGAACGCTCTCGAGTAACAAGTACCGGAAGTGATAAAAAATTTGTCTTTATGAAAATAACATGCAACCAACTTTAAAATCAATGCTTTAACCTCTTTTCTAAAGAAAATAGATCGTTTATGTCTTTGAATTTCTTTACTTTTAAATGAAAAATTGCTGTTTCATCGACTTGGTAAATGTTGAATATTGCCGATGACGAAAGCGACTGAAAGCGAGTATCATGAACAACAGAGCGACTAGATTTCGCTTTTGACGGTCGGGCAAAGCGAAGTGAAAGACGGGAAAGCAACTTTGTCGCCCCAGTCGCCTGCTAGCGTGAGCCCTGCATGTAGTTCATTAGTCCATACTTCAATCTTCTTAATTTAATGTAATAAAGCATTGGCAAAAACATGCAATTTCTTCTCAAGGTGATAAGAAGTTTCAAAATAAAATTAAACTTATCAATTTGAAGTTTTAATGAATGACACATAACTTTATGGTTTCTAATAATTATAACCAGTAAAAACATTGCACAGACATTTTATGTTTTTTATTTTGAAATAATATTTCTTAACTATTTTGATGATTTGTTCTTTGATTTTTTTTCAGGTCAGTATTCTAAAAACACACATGCTGACCCACAGTGATACCAGAGACTTTCCGTGCACAATACAAGGTTGTACCTATGCCTTTAAAACAAAAGGTGCTTTAAAGCGTCATCTCAGAAGACATACAGGTATGGTTAAATAAAATTCATATTTAGATTGCTAAAAACCTTTTTGTAATATTTTATTATTCCAGATGAATAAAAATATCAGCCAAAAATGACAGGAATATTGTTTTGGCTTAACAACTTTGCCACCAGAGATTTATTTTTATTTCTACTTTGAATGTGGTTGCATTAAATATTTGAAGTCTTGGGGCAAATTTCATGCCAGGTCACACCACAGACTTTCTAATTTGATAATCGCTGCTTCTATACGTTAAATACAGCATTAAGGAATATGATCAAAGAAAATTGTTGGCTCTGAGACAGAATGATGTTTCTTGTTAGATGACATGTCTTCCTACAGACTGTTATGTTGTGAGCTAGCCCATTAAAAATTCACCTAGCATGTTGATATATCATTATATAAGTAAAGTGAAAAGATGATTAGTACAATACAAAGGTTGATCCCAATCCTTATTAAAATAGCTGGAATAAAAGATTTCTCAGGGAGTGGAGTTAATGTGAAAACCATATTTTTTAGATAATGGTACATGTATTAAAAGATGAAAGACCTAATATATTTTTCATTTGTTATTTAAAGATGAAATATCTAATATATTTGTTATTTATAGGTGAAAGACCTTATTCTTGTGAGGCTTGTGGTCGTAGTTTTACAGAATCTGGTGCTCTGACTAGGCACATGAGATCAAGGTATGTTTTGATAATCTAGATGAATGCTTTTCTAAATATGCTGAAACAACTTCTTTTTAACTAAATACATTATTTTCACTGGTTGCTATATATGTTTTGACAGAAGTACATTATTTACAATGAATTCGTCACAGAAATAATGTTGAACTGTTCATAAAAGTTGCATTTCTACAAATACTTTTAAAATACTGTAGACAAAATTTGTGTACTTGTAGAAATACAGTTTATTGAATTTGCACACAAATAAATACTTAATAGAAATAATTTTTTTAGGGATTTGTATAAGTTGAAATAAATACTTTGTAGGATTCATTTTTAAAGACACTACACTTACTAAATAAAAGTACACATTTACATAATATGTTATTCAGTATTTCCATTTTATAGTGCCAATCTGAATACTTCCACCTGTTCAAAACTTCAGTAGTCATTTGTAAAATGTGATATATAATTTATAACTGTACATACACAAAAACTTTGATACATTCAATGAAAAACTGACATGCCATGTTTTTAAGTAGAAGGTAAAAGTCATTTGTACGTTGAAAATAGTTTTTATTTGTCTATTTCTAGAATGCCTTGTACCAATAAATCAGATAGTGATTTACCAAGGTATAAAATGAAATGGAATCTACCAAATCAAACCATTCATCAGGTATATTGTAATAGTTAATATTAGATATGAAATATTATCCATCTTAGGCCATGTAAAATTAACTTTCTGGTTCTCAGACACCGCCATGTCAGCCAAAAACATTCTGCTGGTTTGCATTTAAGGTAAAACCAAAATAGATAGAATGTTTAAAAATCTATGTTGTTCAAATTTTACCGCTTTCAATTTAGTCAACAAGACTTAACTCTAATGCATTTGGAAAACTTTTTTACCTTTGATTGTAGACTTCCGGTTAACTCACACGTTTGCAAAATGGGTCAAAATGTAAACAAAAGGGGAAATACTTATTTCCTTTGATTATCAATAAACTTAGAGGAGACACAACTGTAAAAAATTGGGTCAATGGGATTGCTTGAGCGAACTTTCAGTTCATACACTTTGAGATAAAACAGGTGGAACAAAGTATGTGAGCTTGGTTGGTTAACCAAACATCTGACTTTTACACTCAAGTAAAAGCAATGTCTCTGAGCTTGTCGGTAAATATTAGTTTCGAAATTATTAGAAATTTGTGTTTCAACAGTTCTAAGGTACAGGTTGTCGAAATAGATATATGCAGTTGCTTTTTGGTCTGTTTATTTAGGAGTATTAAACAGAAAAAAACGATGCATTTCCAAAAGGACAATACCGGTAATTCAAAGGATAAATTATTGTTTGATTTTGTGACTTAATGTGAGACTTATTAAGATTATGTACCAGCACTGGTTATTTACACTTAAATTAAGGTTGCAATTTTATTCAGGCAATGCTTACCATAGACTTGGTTTTCATATCGTTTCATTTCAATGCTTTTGGTTATCTATGAAATTATTTGCTGTAGTCTCTGTTTAAATTTGAAAAAAATTTCTGGACAAGGCAATTTAAGCTGCTTGATTTGATTAATCTGAGATATTATCTATGCAGCTCTCTGGATGTATTTTTGTGTTTGTCAATGTTTGTTGTTACATGTAGGTTTGGGTCATTCATACCTATTGAGAGTTTTGGCTGTTCTGTTTTGACGGTTTTGGAATTAGAAACTTTTGATCTTGAGCATACTAAAGTACAGTTCTGTCATGAGTTTTATATTTTATATTGTTGACTTGACTTGTAGATTGGTGAATCAGACATACAGGAAGTTGATGAAGAATCATCTGTTGTACAAATATCTGACCTAGTGGCTGCAGCATTGAACTCTGATACCCTACATACTAATGCTGATGGTAGTATACAGGTAGTCATTTCATCAGATCAGGGTGATGTTAGACTGTCTGGGCTGGATGGCAGTTCTGACGAAGTTGTAGTGATAAACCTGGGAAATACCGAACAAGAAGAGACAGTTTCACAAACACACTGTAAGGTATGTGCTTATTAAAATTTATAAGAGGGAAATAAAATAGGTAAAGCATTTTTTTCCTTTCAAAACATAAAACTTTGAACTATGTGGCAAAGATTTAAGAAGGCAATAACAGGTATTTATATTTTACTATACATTAGCAAGTACATATGAAATTTAAAACAAAATAAGTAGATTTTATAACAGCTCTAGGCAATTGTATCTGCTGGACATGGACATTAACTAAACATGTTAATGAATGTATTATTCAGTCTTTCAAGGTTTATAATATTTAGATGATATTAATTTTCTGACAGGTCTGTGAAGAGCAGTTACCAACAATGTACCAGCTTAAGGAACATCTGAGAAAGCATATAACAGACAATGCTAATAGATGTAAAATCTGTCATTTTATATCAGAGGATCAAGAACAGCTGGTTAAACATTACACGGCACATCACCCAGAAGAGGTAGGTAGTTTCTATCTCCATTTATCACTTACATAGTTCCAGCATTGATACTGTTCATAATAAACTTGACAAATACATCCAATAAAGTGAAAAAGGTTAATATTAAGTAAGAACATTGGAAAAGGATGATCCAGGGTTTTCAATAAGCACCAGCACTGAGCGAAAATTCCCCGTCTCAAATTAAGGAAATCACCGGTTCAAATAGTGTTTCTAAATACAAATAAAATAAATAAAACTGTGCTATCGTTGCGTAAAACAAGTTGTTTTCGATTGAATTGTCTTTTGTCTTCGCTTGCACTTTGTTTAGGTGGTCTCTTTGAGGCCCGCATTATAATATACCTATAGATTCTTGACAACATTACGAAGATGGATAAGGAACGAGACATCCGAAATGATTTAAAATGTGATAATTTGTGCACTTTGAAAAAGGATATTAGTAAAGCGCCCTTTTGTCACAGAAAGAATACACATGTTGATCCAAGATGACAAGTAAACAAGCAAAAAGAAAATCGACGTTGCTTGTTTTCTTTACAGCCCCCAAAAAGAAAAAAGAAGCAGGTGAAAACAGAATCACATATTATGCAATTTATGCACGGATATGGATAGTTTCTAAAAAAATGATCATAATAATTTTCGGATCCATTCAACGCTGATATGGTTGTCAAGTATGCACTTGTAAACAGTCTGAAAATGCCTCAGAGTGCACCATTTTCATTGTAAGTCAATAAAAAATTCAGGGGGAGAGGGGGGCAAGCCCCACTCCCCCAATCTATCAGCCTCTTCAAATTAGTAAACAGCCTGTTCACTTATTGAAAACCCTAAATTTAGAAGGATTTCTTTTTATAAAATTTCATTAACATTTTATGTACATCACATATTTCATCTTGAATATGTTTTCCACTTAACATATTGTTTTTACCCTATAGATATGTTTCTTAAACAATTTAATAATACTAGTATTCTTTGAAAAAGATCTGAAGTGATCATAGGTAATATTAATTTTGGTTTCATTTTATACATCACAAGACTTATTTGATTTTGAGCTTATCTTATATGCATATACATGTATATGTGCATACAGACCATTTTCAACATCTTTAGTATAATTTCCTGAGTAGGAAGAAGAGTACCTCCTCAGTAATTGATTTAAGTTGATATACCTACTCAAGAGTAAGGGTGTCTTTATCTGCAAAATGTTGAATTGGAGAGAGATAATCTTAAAAGCCTCATTTTAATTGATTTGGTTAAAGGTGTATGATCTTTTGCCATAGCTTCACATTCATCTTTCATGATCTTTTGCCATCTCTTTGGATACTACAAAGTGAATGATTGTAACTTCTTCAAAAGCACTGAAGCCAATGAGACCTCACTCAGTAGAAGTGTTCCTTGGGATTTTTTCATGCTAAGGATCCATATAACAAACAATACTGACATGGCCAAAGTTTATTTTCTTCAGTGATTATCTAAAACTTCAGAGATCTCTTAAGCTGGAATTGCTTAACTAGGTGAAACCAAACATAGTAGCAAGGTTACCAATCAGTGAGTCAATATGACTGCCAACATCTAATGTCATTTTGCATTGGATTCCACAAATACTTGAGATACATGTTTATACTAAAAATTATAAAATGAAAGCTTTAAGTCTATGACAGATTGTGTAGTTATACATTTTTATTTCCAGAGTGATGATATACTTACAGTACCTTTCAAAGAAGAGGGGTAAGTTTGCAATTCTTTAGATCATCCGTGTTTAAAATAATGTAGCATCCTATGCATATATGTAGGACTCAAATCTATGGCGGGTTCCAAATCTATAGCAGATTCCTAATCTATGGCAAATGTGACGTAACAAACGTCAAACAAATCAAATCTATGGCAGATTTTTGTTTTCTCCTAATCTATGGCAGATCTTTAAATTACGTCACAATAGAATAGCGCAATATTACATCGTCGCCGCCGCAAACGTTGGCGGAACTCGTAGATTTGAACACGATTCCAGATGAAGGTATTTCCCTCGACAACAATTTGCAGATGGTTTAAAGGAAGATATGACCTATTATCCGGAAGAGGGACAAAATGTGCTGTACCGGCCGAAACCCGCGATGAACAAGGGCACCGCTTTTTTCAGTACTGGATATTTTAGAAAAGGAGTTATAGTAAATATTTTACTGTCTACAGCTGGCAAAGTTTATAAAGTGAAAGATAAAATTACCGGATACCTATTTGATTTAAATCGTCATCAAATAAAAATGATATTAACGATGAAGTAAATATTATTTGAAAATTCAAACTGTTCATTTTTATTTATCATTTTTGTTTTATAAAAAAAACTATCCCCTTATTTTTGTTTATAAGGGACTTACTAGTTGGTTTAATGAATGGGTTAAATAGGTAACATGCACAGATTAAAAAATGTTTATTTTACGGTGCACATCATTTCAATCTTGAAGTCTGTATTAAGGTATATGATTTCATCATTTACGAATTTGATTGGTTGCCAACACGATTTGGTTGACCATTATGAAATGTTTATTTCACCAATATTTATATACATGCTCCCGTCGTACATGTCCACTTGTTTAAGACAAGTCATTGGTCGTATATGTACTGCATTGTTTTCCATTTGCACAAAATTTGCCATAGATTTGAAAACAACAAAAAACCCGCCATAGATTAGGAAATTACAAAACTTGCCATAGATTAGGATTGTAAAACAATTTGCCATAGATTTGGGATGGCATGACGTCACATTTACCATAGATTAGGAATCTGCCATAGATTTGGAACCCACCATAGATTTGAGTCCTACATATATATATAAAAAAAGAGATGAGGTATGATTGCCAATGAGACAACTGTCCACCAAAGTTCAAATAAAGTGCATGTAAGCAATAATAGGCAACCGTACGGCCTTCAACAATGAGAAAGCCCCATATCGTATAGTCAACTATAAAAGGCCCCAACATGACAAATATGAAACAATTCAATTGAGAAAACTAACGGCCTAATTTATAATAAAAAAATTAACGAAAAACAAATATGACAGACATGAACCAACAACAACCACTGAACTACAGGCTCCTGACTTGGGACAGGCACATAAAGAATGTGGCATGGTTAAAATGTATTGAAGTGAATATAAAAGTAAGTGACCTGTAGTTATTAATCTAATTCAGATAAATTTGAAAGTGCTGTTTGTCAATATAAATTGATTGTATGGTATTGCCAATAAAATTATTTAATCTGAATTTTTGTACTAACAAGAAATGAAGATATGTTTTCAAAATTAGAAAGAGATTCATCCGAAGCAATGGATGGATGCCAATAAACCAGTGGCAAATAAAACAAAAGTCAGTATTATTTTGGTAAGTTTTTTAAATAGACAATTAGAGAATCATCATATTTTTTTTGCAGTGCCAAGGATGCATTAAAGCAGTTACTGGAACTACCAGATGATGAAGAAAATGACAAATTAACACAGAAGTGTCCTGTTTGTCTGAAACCATTTAGAGGAAGTTCATATCTCAAACTACATATGAAATCACATATAGGTAGGATAATGTTTTCATTGAATTGGAAATCAATTGTATTCCTTTAGTTATAGGCATAGAAAAGTAAAGTAGAAGTTTTATATTTAGCAACTATATTTTTACTCTTCTGTATCATGGGTCTAATACATTTATATCAAATAGTATTAAAATATTGTAAACTCACCAAAATATGAGAGACATATCCCTCAAAAATCCCTCAACAATACAATGTTGGAAACACTTATTAACAAATGAATCTTCAAAGATCATCAAAGTATTTTTATGATATTATAGAAATCAATTGGATTATTGGAAAGTGTGAAATGTGAAGAAAAAAAAATTGAAGGATACTAATTTAGGCATGTTTGCAATGTATTTATATTATATATTTATTTTTCAATTTACAGGTGAAAAAGCTCATAAATGTACTGTGTGTGATAAAAGTTTTATAACCAAAGACACTTTAAACAAACACATGAGTGTTCATAATACAGAAAGGCAGTATAAATGTGGTGAATGTGGTAAATTGTTCAAAAGGATCTCACATGTCAGGGAACATCTCAAAATACATTCTGTAGACAGACCTTTTCCTTGTTCAGTCTGCTCAAAGTCCTTCAAATCTGCTGTAAGTACTCTATAACTCTAGAAATGGTATAACTTTTCCAAGGGCTTATAACAAAGTCCTCTTACTCTATTAAAGATCTTATTAGTCCCCTACCGACGAAGTCGAAGGGGACTTAAGGTTTGTACTCCGTCCGTCTGTCAATCCATCAGTCTAGCAAATCAGTTTTCCACACTTTTTTCTTCATGCTTGAAGATATTGATTTGATATTTGGTGTATTGTTTTATCATGACAAGTTACAGATCAAATTCGAATTTTGTTCCGGTCTGATGATTTTGTGCAGAGTTATGGTCCTTTGACATAGAAAATTCACTAAAATAATCAGTTTTCCGCACTTTTTTTTGTCATTTTTGAAGATATTGATTTGATATTTGGTATATTGTTTTATCATGACAAGTTTCAGTTCAAATTTGAATTTTGTTCCGGTCTGATGATTTTATGCAGAATTATGGTCCTTGGACTTAGAAAATTCACTTAAGTAATCAGTTTTCAACACTTTTTTTCGTCATGCTTGAAGATATTGACTTGATATTTGTTATATAGTTTACACCATGACAAGTTATAGATCAAGTTAGAATTTTGTTCCAATACATGAATTTTTAACCGGTAGGGAACTATGTATTGCCATGCAATACTCACAGAATGCTTGTTTTTCTAATGTGTTAAAATCCAATTCAAAATGTGTGAACAGGTGCAAATTTTAGATATAGCAAATCAACTCTTAGATGCTTGATATTTGAAGTCATCTAAATGGAGCTGTGTATGCATGTAAAGCTTTGTAAATAAATGAAACTAATAATGATAGTTTTCCATTTAATACAGGGAATTCCTTTACACAACTGAAATAAATACAATTACAATTAAAAACCAATTGTTCTTTTGAAGGTCTTTCCACATCAATTTTCTAAATAATTTATAAGAAGCTACTTCTTGTTTACTCAAAGCTACTGTTGGCATGTAATCATAGGTTTATTCATACTGACTCAATAAATATATGGTTCTATATACTTTTGCCTGAAATGAGGGAGATAAGTGTCAACTCCCGGTTTAGAAAATGTCACTTCTAGTCTCATATGAAAGCTTTATTTACACTGATTCCAAAAATATATGGTTTATATATACTTTTGCCTGTAAAAAGGGAGATAATTTGCTACTTCCGGTTTAGAAAATGTCATTTTAGGTCTCATATGATAGCTTTATGCACACTGATTCCAAAAATATAAGTTTGTATATACTTATGCCTGTAATAAGGGAGATAATATGCTACTTCCAGTTTATAAAATGTCACTTCCAGTCTCAAATGATAGGTTTATGTATGCCCATTTGAAAAATATATGGTTTCTAGGTATTTTTCCATAAAATAAGTGCAAACATGACTACTTCCAGTTCACTCAAGGTCACTTCCGGTTGATATTTTTCAAGGTCACATGTCACTTAACATTTTCTAAAAGACCTTATTGCTTTATCATGTACCAATCTGAAGTAATAATCAATTAACCTTAAAATAAAACATTTCAGGGGCAATAACTCCTATAAGATGTCACTGGATTGTTTCAGACCAAATGTATCATATCTTCATCACAATAAAACAAACATTTTGCACTAGTTCTTTTATATATAAAAAAAAAGGGTGGTCTAAAAAAAGACAAAACAACAAGATTCAAGACCCCCTTTTTTTGAAACATATAGAAAATCTAGATCTAGTGTTCCTCGCTGAAACCCACTTGGGGTATGATTCTAATGTAACTAATATAGGTTTATTCCATTGTCATCTAATTTGTAGACCTGTAACTAAATATAACAACAGGCATTTTGGAAGACTTGCAATACTACGCAAGCCCTCACTAAAGCAACATGTGAAAATTCTAAAATCATCTATCCCAGATTTTCAGTGGGTTAAATTAGAAAAAAATTCTTTGGATTTGACAAAGATCTTTTTATATGTGTTGTGTATAACCCACCAGAAGGGTCATCATACTCTAAAGGACTTGACCATGATATTCTTACATGTTTAGAAAAGGATATTGCTTCCTACCAAAAACAGGGTAATATATTATTGTGTGGGGACTTTAATGCCAGAGTGGCTTCTGATACAGATTTTATCATAGATGACAGTAATAATCTTTCTCCATTATATCAGTCCTATTTCAGCAATAAACAAATTCTTGAAAGAAGGAGCAAAGATGATAAACTTGACTCAAGGGGCAGGGACCTGCTTGACTTGTGTATTAGTAACCAAATAAGGATTCTGAATGGTCAAGTTCTTGGTGACACCTTTGGTGGGCTAACATGTTATACACCTAATGGGGCTAGTACAGTTGATTATGTTTTAGTGTCGGAGAGTATCCTGAATCAAATTCTGTACATGAGGATATGTAATTTTATACACTATCAGACTGCCATTGTTTGTTGGAATGGTCATTGTCTGCTAAATATTGTTTAAAAACTGATTGTGATAGTGTTAAAACTCATGAAATATTACCAGGTTTCATATGGTCAGATGACTCACCAGCTCTTTTTCAAGATGCCCTTTTTACTGCAGAAATTCAGCAGCGACTTGACAAATTCCTTAAACTAGAGCCCATAGATTCCCAAAATGCAATTGATAACGCATCTCTAGAATTGACAGACATTATTATAACTGCTGCTAATATATCTCTTAAAAGGCGTAAAGCCCAAACGGGTAAGGGGGTTAAACACCAAAAGTAGTTTGATTGTAATCTTGCATATTTGCGAAAAAACCTATTTAGTTATGGGAAAATTTATTCTCGATTTCCCAGAGATCCTGCTGTTAAAGGTCACTATTATAAACTACAGCGCGTATATACTAAGGCACGGAAACAAGAATACAGGGAGTACAAGCAGTCATTGTTGAAGCAAATAGAAACACTGCATGAGGAAAACCCTAAGCAGTACTGGCAATTGATTGATGAACTGCAGGGCAAGGAAAAGGATGATAAGAGTGCATTGGTTGCACCATTTGATTGGTTGAATCATTTTAAAAATTTGACCGAACCAAAAGATGAGTTTAAAGAGCGACTGCAATTTTTAGAGGAAAAGCTAAACGTTCTTGAAAAAAGAAAGTGCTTTAATGAACTTGATAGTAGGATCTCTGAAACCGAAATATCTACTGCTTTGTCATCTTTAAAGGTTAATAAAGCAGCAGGGTTGGATAACATCTCTAATAGTATGCTAAAATATGGTCAAACCTCTTTGTTACCGTGTTTACTAAAAAAATTTAATAATTGCCTCTCTTATGGAAAATACCCAGAACCGTGGACTACTGGTTACATATTCCCAATTCATAAAGGGAATGATGCATCTGATCCTAATAATTATAGAGGAATAACTATTACTGATGCTTTGGGGAAGCTTTTTAATAAAATTCTTGACACCCATCTTTGCAAATTTTTAGATAAATATCAGATCATTAAAGATAGCCAAATTGGTTTCACAAAAAAAGCACGACCATCTGACCATATGTTCATACTTAAGACCATTATTGATAAGTACTGTCATACTAAAGAAGGTAGAGTGTTTGCCTGTTTTGTTGATTTCCAGAAGGCCTTTGACACCGTTATTCACCCAGGTGTAAAACTCAAGTTATTAAACATCGGGCTGGGTACAAATTTTTATAATATAATTAAGAGTATGTATGCTCAGAGTAAATCGTGTTTTCGATTAAAGAATAGAGTTACAGACCTTTTTCCAACTAAGGTGGGAGTGAAACAGGGAGATAATTTGAGTCCAAATTTGTTTAAAATTTTCATAAATGACCTCTCTGATTATCTTGAAAAGTCACCTGATCCAGTCTTGGTTAACTCAAAGCCAGTTCATTGTTTATTATATGCTGACGATATTGTCATTTTTTCTTCCTCGGAAAAGGGGCTTCAGTTAAAACTTGATCAATTAAGTAATTATTGTAAAGATTGGTGTATGAAAATTAATCTAAAAAAAACTAAGGTGATGGTATTTAACAAGGCAGGCAGGCATATATAACATAATTTTTATTTTAATGACATGTTGATAGATTGTGTTCAACATTGTAAATATTTAGGTATAACATTTAGTGCATCAGGATCTTTTTCCTTTGCTCAGAAGGAATTGTACAATAAGGCACTGAAAGCATACTACAAGCTACGAAAGGACTTCTTGTCACTGAATCCAAATATTAAAAACAGCCTCCACATATTTGATTATACAATTAAACCCATTCTTTTGTATAGTTCGGAAATTTGGGGCTTTTTTAATCCCTTCAAAAAAATTAAATTCTCAGACTTCTACAGTTGATCAAGCCTATCCTAAACTTCTTTCTGAAAGATTACATATGAAATTTTGTAAACTATTACTAGGTGTGGGGAAAAGAGCAACAAACTTTGCCACTCTTTCAGAACTTGGGAGATTTCCTTTACATTTTGATATCACCAAATCTATGATCAGATACTGGCACCGGCTTGGAAATTTGGGTTCATCCTTTCCATTACTAAAAGATGCATATTTAGAGTCAAAGCTATTATTTGAATCAAAAATTCCCTCTTGGTATGGATCTTTAAACTATTTGCAAAAAAAATTAATGGGGTTGACAGTCTAGCCTTTGCAAGCAACTTTAGATTCAAAATTTTATTTAAAAAGTTTTTTTACCAGCACTATGAAATACAGTGGAGAAAACAAATGCACAATTGTGCTGATTGGAAGCTTTGTAGCTATAGCACTTTTAAGACTCATTTTGGTCTTAAAAGATATCTTACTTTATTACAATCACCTGAGCAGAGGAGAAATTTCACTCGATTGCGTAATTCTTCTCACAGACTAAGAATTGAACAAGGTTGCTATCAGGGTACTCTCCGACAAGACAGAATATGTCTCAGGTGCACCTCAAATGAAATTGATGATGAAAAACATTTTTTATTTTCGTGTACATCATCTCAAGATAAGAGAAATTGTTTAAATTCCACTATTAACTCACTATGCCCAAATTTGACTCATTTGATTCCAAGCCAAAAACTGATATGGCTTCTTAATGTAGAGAATCTTGATATCTTGATATCTGTCTGTGAGTTATTTGATGAAGACAAAATATAACTTGAAAGATAAATATTTAAATCAGGCTTTCTGCACTAGGCACGATGTTGGCATGGTGGGGTACAGGACATATCGTATAAGTTCTATTACCTTTCTGTTTGTGATATTTCTTGATTAAACTGGTAATATTTTATCTTTTCGTAATATGTGCACTTTGGCATGTCAATTAGCATTGTTCCTTGGTGCCTCTTGCAGTTGTGTCACTTTAAATAGTACTGACTCCTCTGCACCAGGCACGAGGATGACATACCAGTTATGTGCAACTTCTTACAATATCTTACCATATCATTAATCATGTTAATGTCCCGATACACATTTTAATATGCACCCACCATGCCATATAGCACCGTCCCTTGGTGCCTACTGCAGTTAAGCTAGATATATTTAGCCTACTCACAGAATTCTTTTTTTTTTTGTAACTTTCTAGAGGTGTGCCTGAGACGAAGGTTTTATATATACTATATATATACAAATATGTGAAAACTGTTGTTTCTTATTTGTGTTTGTAACTATGTATACTGTGTTGTTTATTATATTTGTAAAAATAATATTATAATGATATTATATTATGCTCCTTGTGAGCCCATTTGATGGAAATAAAGCATCTTCTTCTTCTTCTTCTTCTTCTATATAACGTTAAAAATATCAGAGAAAATGCAAAAACAAGCAAAAGACAAAATTCAGAACATGACCTTGACCTTTGACATTGACCTCATTTTGTAAGTTAGGCCCAAGGACCTCAAATAAAAAGACTATAGGTTTATACGGCTTAAGGTTTATGAGTTACAAAAACAAAACGACAAATTTATTTGATAAAGGTAGATAACTCCTATAAAATTTCACCGGATCGCTTCGATCCAAATCAGCAAAAAATTCCTGAGGATGTAACGAACAAATATGAAAAAGAATTTTATCGTTTTCTTTTTTGGTTACAGAGGAGATACACTCAAAAGAAAAACAGTGTTTGGGGAGATAACTCTTACAATAAAAAAAGTCTTCGCCTTAATGAGATAAGTTTAAAAAGCGCAATAACTGTTCGATTTAATATTCAAAATATCTAAGCGACATCTTGCGAAACAACTTTAGCATTACACTGAAGAAAAAACAAATTATGAAAAAGTGTAAATTTTTACATTCATTGTTGTTTTTATTTGCAGAATGCTATGAGAGTACACATGAGAACCCATACCAGCATTTTACCATATGAATGTAAATTTTGTCATCGTAAATTTCGTGAAAAAGCTTCACTACTGCGACATGTTAGAATGCATACAGGAGAACGTCCATTTAAATGTAACAGATGTGGCAGAGCATTTGCTGAACATGGTACACTCAACAGGCATCTAAAGGCAAAAGGTAGGCAGGGCATTCACTCACATTACACATTCAACAATATCTAGAGGCCAAAAAAGAAGGCAAAGTATATGTAAAGCTAAAAGTAGACAAAACATTCACTTGCATGACACACTTAAGACATTGGAAGGTTAAAATTAGGTTAGACATCATTACAAGCATTTAAAGGTGAAAAGTAAGTGGGCATTTGCCAACATGATACACTTATCAATATAAATAAGAAGATGTAGTATGAGTGCCAATGAGACAGCTATCCATCCAAATCACAATGTGTAAAAAGTAAACAATTAAAGGTCAAAGTATGGCCTTCAACATGGAGCCTTGGCTCACACCGAACAGCAAGCATGTAAAGGTAGACTAACTTTGCATGTTAAATAAACATCAAAATATAGGCAGGGATTTCAATAACATGACTACTTTACAAACATCTAGACAAGGCATTTACTAACATGACACACTTAACAGGCATAGAAAAACAGGCGAGTATGAAAAGCATGACTTGCTAAACATGTTTCTGAAAGAAGGCAGTATATTACTAACATTGCATACTGAAAAGGCATAAAAGACGAGCAGGTCATCATTTAACATATTGAACTTAACTAAACATTACAATACAAGGAAATATTGAAACTGGTAAATTAAAAGGTAATTATTGGGAGGATTTATTATTAATGTAAATAATGCGACTGGGTGAGTATCGCAATAATAAAAACTCCCATTCCGAAATCTGATACATATATCTTATGCAGATTTTTCCGAAATCGCAATAATTAATCTCATAATTTTGTCCATTCCTAAAAAATCTCAATAATAAATGCACGCAATGATTTCTGATTTTACAGCACCTGAATTTGATAATTGAGTATATGTATATAATTGAATAATATTTAGCAGGTAAATTCAAAGCTTTTAACGAAATGTTGTAAAAACCATCTTTTTATGCCCCCACCGTAGCAGAGGGGGCATTAAGTTTTACCCTTGTCCGTCTGTATGTACGTCCCAAAATTGGTTTCCGTTCTCTAACTTTAGTTTGCCTCAACCAAATGTTATGAAACTTATACACAATGCTTATTACCACAAAACACAGATCAAATTTGAATTTTGGTGGCATCACTTTAACCGTTCTAGAGTTATACCCCTTTACAAATGGAAAAATTGCTAAATTTTTAGCTCACCGGGGCCCAAAGGGCCCCATGTGAGCTTATGCCATCACTTGGCGTCCGTCGTTGTCCGTCGTCGTAAACTATTTCAAAAATCTTCTCTTCTGAAACTACTTGGCCAAATACCTTCAAACTTTAACTAAATGTTCCTTAGGGTATCTAGTTTATAAATTGTATCCGAAGTTTTGATCCATCGACAAACATGGCCACCATGGCTAAAAATAGAACATAGGGGTCAAATGCAGTTTTTGGCTTATATCTCAAAAACTAAATCTTTTAGAGCAAATGTGACATGGGGTAAAATTGTTTAATTGGTCAAGATCTATCGGCCCTGAAATTATCAGACGAATCGAACAACCCATTGTTGGGTTGCTGCCACCCAATTGGTAGTTTTAACAAAATTTTGCAGTTTTTATTATTTTGAATATTATTATAGATATATATAAACTGTAAGCAGCAATAATGTTCAGCAAAGTAAGATCTACAAAAAAGTTGATATGACCATAATTGTCAAATGACCCCTTAAGGAGTTATTGCCCTTTAAAGACAATTTTACACAATTTGTTCATCAAGTTTGCTAACATTTAAAAATCTTCTCCTCTGAAACTACTGGGCCAATTACCTTCAAACTTTAACTAAATGTTCCTTAGGGTATCTTGTTTATAAATTGTATCCGAAGTTTGTATCCATCGACAAACATGGCCGCCATGGCTAAGAATAGAACATAGGGGTCAAATGCAGTTTTTGGCTTATATCTCAAAAACTAAATCTTTTAGAGCAAATGTGACATGGGGTCAAATTGTTTAATTGGTCAAGATCTATTGGCCCTGAAATTATCAGACGAATCGAACAACCCATTGTTGGGTTGCTGCCACCCAATTGGTAGTTTTAACAAAATTTTGCAGTTTTTTATCGAGCCTGTGACTTTTGTCGCAGAAAGCTCGACATAGGGATAGTGATCCGGCGGCGGCGTTAGCTAACTTCTTAAAAGCTTTATATTTTAGAAGCTAAAAGACCTGGATGCTTCATACTTTGTATATAGATGCCTTATGTTACGAAGATTTTGTCTGTCATATGTCCATTGTCCTTGACCTCATTTTCATGGTTCAGTGACTACTTGAAAAAAAAGTCAACTTTTTTTGTAATGTTAATTTCTTTCTTATTATGAGCAATAGGATAACTATATTTATTATGTGCGTACCTTGCAAGGTCCTCATGCCCGTCAGACAATTTTCATTTGACCTCGACCTCATTTCATGGATCGGTGAACAAGGTTAAGTTTTCGTGGTCAAGTCCATATCTCAGATACTATAAGTAGTAGGTCTACTATATTTGGTATATGGAATGATTGTAAGGTGTACATGTCCAACTGGTAGGTGTCATCTGACCTTGACCTCATTTTCATGGTTCAGCTGTCAAAGTTAAGTTTTTGAGTTTTGGTCTTTTTTTCTAATACTATATGCAATAGGTCAACTATATTTGGTGTATGGAAATATTTTATGATGTACATGTCAGTCTCTTAGGTTTTATTTGACCTTGACCTCATTTTCATGATTTATTTCTCAGTGTTAAGTTTTTGTGTTTTGGTCTGTTTTTCTTCAATTATAAGCAATAGATCAACTATACTTGTTGTATGGAAGGATTATAAGGTGTATATGTCTGTCTAGCAAGTATCACCTGACCTTGAACTCATTTTCATGGTTCATTGGTCAATGTTAAGTTTTCATGGTTAAGTTTGTTTCTTAGATACTATAAGCAATAGGTCAACTATATTTAATGCATAAATTGATTGTAAGCTAAGGTGTACATGTTTGTCTGGCAAGGTTCATCTGACTTTGACCTCATTTTCATGGTTCATTGGTCAATGTTAAGTTTTCTTGGTTAAAACTGTTTCTTAGAAACTATAAGCAATAGGTCAACTATGTTTGGATGATTGTAAGGTGTACATACCTGTCTGGCATGGTTCATTTGACCTTGACCTCTTTTTCATGGTTCATTGGTCAATGTTAAGTTTTCTTGGTTAAAACTGTTTCTTAGAAACTATAAGCAATAGGTCAACTATGTTTGGATGATTGTAAGGTGTACATGTATTTCTCGTTTGGTTTATCTGACCTTGACCTCATTTTCTTGGATCATGTTAAGTTTATGTGTTACTTGTAGTAAAGCTTTATATTTAGGACTATCAACATAAAATCAATGGTTAGTAAAGAAGGCAAGACATTTCAGCGTGTGCACTCTGGTTGTTATTATTTTGAATATTACTATAGATATATATAAACTGTAAGCAGCAATAATGTTTAGCAAAGTAAAATCTACCAAAATGTCAATATGACCAAAATTGTCAGTTGACCCCTTAAGGAGTTATTGCCCTTTAAAGACAATTTTACACAATTTGTTCATCAAGTTTGCTAACATTTAAAAAATCTTCTCCTCTGAAATACAGGTGAGCGATTCAGGCTCTTGAGAGCCTCTTGTTTGTGTTTCCATTCTCTAACTTCAGTTTGCCTCTACCAAATGTTATGAAACTTATACACAATGCTTATTACCACAAAACACAGATCAAGTTTGAATTTTGGTGGCGTCACTTTTACCGTTCTAGAGTTATGCCCCTTTACAAATGGAAAAATTGGTAAATTTTTTGTTTCTGTTCTCTAACTTCAGTTTGCCTCAACCAAATGTTATGAAGCTTATACACAATACTTATTACCATAAAACACAGATCAAGTTTTAATTTTGATGGCATCACTTTTACCGTTCTAGAGTTATGCCCCTTTACAAATGGAAAAATTGGTAAATTTTTTGTTTCCGTTCTCTAACTTCAGTTTGCCTCAACCAAATATTATGAAACTTATACACAATGCTTATAACCACAAAACACAGATCAAGTTTGAATTTTGGTGGCGTCACTTTTGCCGTTCTAGAGTTATGCCCCTCTACAAATGGAAAAAATTGCTGAATTTTTCGTTTCCATTCTCTTTCTTTAGTTTGCCTCAACCAAATGTTATGAAACTTATACACAATTTTTATTACCTCAAAACACAGATCAAGTTTGAATTTTGTTGGTGTCACTTTTGCTTTTCTAGAGTTATGCCCCTCGTTTCCATTCTCTTACTTTAGTTTGTCTCAACTAAATGTTATGAAACGTATACACAATGCTTATTACCACAAAACTCAGATCAAGTACAAATTTGGGTAGTGTCACTTTTACAGTTCTTGAGTTATATCCCTTTATAACATTATATGCAAGCGGGGGCATCATCTGTGTCCCATTGACACATTCCCCATTTATTTTTAGATATGTTGGACATGCAGTGGGTTGAAATTTAATTAATTCTCTAAAAGCTATGATCAGTTGTTAAATGTTTAAAAATGTCTGCTTATTTTTGAAGGTTTTCAACATGTTGTATTTTATTTCAGTTCCATGCACTGGCCATTCACTACCAATTCAACAGGACCAGACAGATTATAATGCTACAGTATTATCAGAGTTTTCATCGGTTGTTGCAGACACCCAGCAGTATATCATGTCTGATACTACTGAACAGCAGGTACAGTATTCCAAAGTTTTGATCTGTTTTGACAGACACATAGCATTATGTCTGACAGTACTTAGCAGGAGGTATATACAACTCCGTGACATATATATGCTGATATTGTTCTACGGAACCCCAAAACATAAGACAACAGTGTGTGCATGACAAAACTGTAAAGATCTATCACATTTTGAAGTCTTTGCACTCAACAACAGGCCCACCAGCCCAGGCTTATTAAACTGCTATCTAGCCTGTAAAAATCATCTCTATGGGCTTATGTTACTATCAGAGAAGTAGAGTATTAGTATTAGAGATTAGATGTATTATAAATATTACAAATTACTGTGGATTCATTTATTGTTGAGCCTGTGACATTTATGATGCGAAAGCGATACATAGCGATCTTCGATTTCGTCAGCAGCGTGAACATTGAGGTTAAGTCTATGGTTAAAAGATTTTTTAGACATCAATAACTTTGTCAAACCTTTATGGAATTTTATGAAATTTGGACAGAAGCTTGTTTATGGTGAAAAAACAGTGTGCAGAGAAAAATTTGGAAAATATAAAGCTGTATAAAGTATTTTACTGATAAATGGACTTAGTTTTTAAGTCAACATTACACTTTTACACTGACAGTAGCAATTGCAGGCCAGACACAGTGTTCCTCTTAACCCCTTACGATTTGTATACGACCACAAGACACATTTGGTTTCCAGACAATAACTTTAGTTTAAGTGAATGGATCTCTATGAAATTTTACCAGAAGGTTCAATACCACAAAGAGAAAGGTTGGGATTGATTTTGGGGGTTATGGTACCAACATTTTAGGAATTAGGGGCAAAAAACAAGCATTTTTGTAGTTTCCGGACAATAACTTGTGTGTGAGTGTATGGATCTCTCTGAAATTTTACCACAAGGTTCCATATCACAAAGGGAAGGCTGTGATTGAGTTTGGGGGTAATTGCCCGAAATGTTCAGGAATTAGGGGCAAAAAAGCAGTCAAAAACAAGCATTTTTCTGGTTTCCAGACAATAACTTGTGTTTAAATGTATGGATCTCTCTGAAATTGTAGTACAATGTTCCATACCACAAAGGGAAGGTGGGGATTGAGTTTGGGGGTAATTACTCCAAAGGGGGTTCAAAATGTTTGGGTTTTTTTTTTTTCAATTTTTTTGGGGGGTTCATACTTTTTTTCTAAAAAAATCTTTTTAGGGGGATTTTTTTTTTTCATAAATTTTTGAATTTTTTTCTTAATATTTTTCATTTTGACACTGATTATTTCTGATTTATATATAAAAGCAACAAATACTGATATGGCAGGAGATACACACCATTTGTATGTAAATTATTATATATAACAGATTAACTAAGTATTGTGCAACAGCACAGTATTGCACAATAGCAAGAAATCTTCAATTGCACAATATTGCACAATAGCAAGAAATCTTCAATAGCACAGTATTGCGCAATAGCAAGAAATCTTCAATAGCACAGTATTGTGCAATAGCACAGTATTGCGCAGTAGCAAGAAATCTTCAAATTGCACAGTATTGCACAATAGCAAGAAATCTTCAGTTGCACAGTATTGCACAATAGCACAGTATTGCGCAATAGCAAGAAATCTTCAAGTGAAAATAAATACTAATCTTTTAACCAATTTCAATGGGATTAATTTAAAGTCTTTAATTTTTGGGGGTTCTAACTTTGTATAACTATTTTGGATATTGGGCCCCATTTTTAAATTGGTCTACATTGAGGTCCAAAGGGTCCAAAATTAAACTTTGTTTGATTTCATCAAAAACTGAATTATTGTGGCTCTATGATATGCTGAATTTTATTGCGCATTTAGATTTTTTATTTTGGGCCCTGTTTTCAAATAAGTCCATATTAAGGTTTGAAGGGTCCAAAATTAAACTTTGTTTGATTTCAACTAAAATTGAATTTTTGGTGTTTTTTTATATGCTGAATCTAACCATGTAGTTAGATTATGAAAATGAGACCATATTAGGGAAATTAAATGTCCCATTTCAAATTTTTAAGATCTTTGACCACATTTATTTTGTGTCAGAAACCTATATTATTTCAAAAATTTGATCACAATCCAAATTCAGACAGTATAAAGCTTGAATATTGTGTCCAAACTTGCCCCAACTGTTCAGGGTTCGACATCTGCAGTTGTATCAGGCTGCGCTAGGCGAAGCATTTTATTATTTTGTGGATTGATGAAAAATTGTATTTTCGTTGATATTTGATTTCGTGGTTTTGCCACAGTCTGCATACAAGCCTAAAGAAAATTTGGTATCCCACAAATAATAATGAATCCTAAGTAGGTTGTATTACCTGACTAGAAACTTAAACATTATTACTTTTGTTTGCAGGTAGAAGATGCAACGGAATATGTTGTTGTTCAGACTGGTACTGATGACTTTCAGAATGTAGAGATTATTACAGAGGAGGAAGTTCTAGAGGGAGTTGAAGTCTCAAGAGATTACATTCTATTAAATGAAGATGGAGGAAATGTCAGAATTGTAGATTCTAAAACAGGAGAGACAATCGCAACAATGCCATCATCAGCGTTAACTGAATCTTCTTCCTCAGGGGAGATAATTGCCACTTTACCACCAAACTATACAGAAGTGGAAGAATCGGTCAGTGATGAACAAATTGCTCAGTCACTTATTCAGGCTATAGAAGAGGGAAATACCATTGTAGAAAATGTGCAAGTGACAGAAATGCAAATTGTAGAACGTGATGAGAATCAAGTTTCTGATTGATGATGACAATTCTAATTTGTATTAAAGTTCTTATGAAACATACTAGTAAAACAAATTGTTCTGAATTTATAGTGCATGTCAATGTCAGTAAAGTCTTAACTTAATTTTGATATGGGAGTATCAGAATGGAAAATACCAGTAGTTGAATATACACAATCAACTTTTTTCACAAAAGAATTACAATATTTTTTAACAAAAGAAAGAGATTTTTATTTACCATGCAGCAGGTTATTTTTGTGAGGTGTTAAATGTTTTGCTTGTTTAAGTGGGTAAACCAAAATCATAAAAATAAATTTTTCCATTGTATGTTACTTAATAATAGCTGAAGCATCTCAGTAACATTTTTAAAGTGTACAGTTAACCAGTCTATTACAGTACATTTAAGTTTTAACAACATAAGTGCCATAGGGCTGTTCTCCAATATATGTAAAATTAGGTCTTTTTTGAGTTTCTTTTACTTTTACTTTAATAAATTTAAAGTTTAAGTCTTACCCAGTTTAATAAGTGTTAAATTTGTTTTTTTGTCAAAATTGACAGTTAAAAAAACCAACTATTTATTATTACATAAAAGGTGATGTGATATTTGTATTAACTAATTACATATTGTAAGCATTTTTTTACACCTGTGACAAATTCCTGGTTACACTTTTGATCAGTTTTATCACATTCACAACATGAAAAATAAAGGCAATATTACTTAATGTCTATAAATTATATTATTAATTACATAAATAATATAATTGAATATTTACTATTTATTATGCATACTGATTTACACAATACATATATATTCAATATTTTTTTTTTAAATAAGAAAAGGCAACTTTTTATTTTGTATACAGAACTATGTCAAAGATTGACCAGTACTTGTAAGTGTTTTGTGTCAATCTATGTTACAACTTTTTGACGTGCATACATTTAATATTCTTCCAAAAATGCTACAGGAGCCTGTAATTCAGTGGTTGTGGTTTATTTCTGTGTATCATATTTGTTTTTCGTTCATTATTTCGTACATAAATAAGGCTGTTAGTTTTCTCATTTGAATGGTTTTACATTTGTCATAAAGGGGCCTTTTATAGCTGACTATGCGGTATGCTCATTGTTGAAGGCCATACAGTGACCTATAGTTGTTAATTTCTGTGTCATTTGGTCTCTTGTGGAGAGTTGTCTCATCGGCAATCATACCACATCTTCTTATTTTTATAATTATACAAATGATTATTTACCATTTTGAAATCAGCCAAAATAAAAATCCCATATTTGTTTAAATACTTCTTAATCCTTAGTGGCAAATATTCACACACATGGAAAAAAAACCTGCTGTATGGTAATATATGGTCTCTAGACAAAAACAAATTATTTCATCATTTTGAATATGAGTGTGTCAAAAGCTGCTATGGAATAATTATCTGGATTACATAATAATAGCCAATTGCATAGTCATTCTTTAGAAATATTGTAATGAGGCATTATAACTGTTTCACAATAGGCTGGTATGTTATATTTCAATTAAAGTCTGTCTAAGATTTTATTTATCCAGACAATATATGGGTTTGCCTTTTTTAATTGGAAAAGAATACTGTTTTGTAGTTTAGATGCTGTCTTGGTTGGACTATGCTAAAACAGGTATATTTTTTTATCGTCATGATATAGAATGTAGTAGCTAACTAGGTAAAAGTAACTAAAACGTTCATTAATTATAAACACTGTCACCACTGAATGGGATAGGAACTGCTTACTCTTCTGGAGAACATGAGTATTTCATCTGGTTTTTCATGTGGTTTGTGTTTGTCTTTCGTTTCCTGTGTGTGATGTTTTGTGCACTGTTGTATGTGTTTTTGTCTTTTTTGCCATGGTATTGTCGTTTTTTTTTATGATTTTGATTGCCCCCTTAGTATCTTCATCTCTCCTTTTTAACTCACCTGGCTTAAAAAACCAAGTGAGCTTTTAACATCACTTGACATCTGTCGTCGTCTTTTAACTTTTACAAAAATCTTCTCTGAAACTACTTAGCCAAATTTAACCAAACTTGGCCACAATCATCATTGGAGTATCTAGTTATAAAAAATGTGTCCAATGTCCCTGTCTGCCAACCAAGGCGGCCGACATGGCTAAAAATAGAACATAGGGGTAAAATACAAGTTTTTGAAAACAGTTATAAATAGAGAAAATCTGACGGCAAAATGTTCAGAATGTTGAGCTCTACCTATTGTTCATTACGTCAAAAATTGTCAGACAACTTCTTAGAGGAGTTTTTGCCCTTAAATGATGAATTTTACCATTTTTACCATTTTTGTCTATTATCTCAAAAATTATGATAGATAGACAGAAACTTTAAATAGCAAAAATGATCAGCAAAACAAGATCTACAAATAAGTCAGTATTGCAGAAATCTTCAGTCGACTCCGTATTAGAGTTATTGCCTTACAATGATGATTTTTGTCGAGCCTTCGACTTCTGTCGCAGAAAGCTAGACATAGGGATAGTGATCTGGGGGCGGCGGCAGGAATGGCGGTGTTAACTTACTACTTAAAAGCTTTATATTTTAGAAGGTGGAATACCAGAATGCTTTATACTTTGTATATAGATGTCTTGTGTTATGAAGTTTCCGTCTGTCATATGTCCATTGTCCTTGACCTCATTTTCATGGTTCAGTGACTACTTGAAAAAAAGTTAAGATTTTTTGTAATGTTAATTTCTTTCTTATTATGAGTAATAGGATAACTATATTTAGTATGTGCATACCATGCAAGGTTCTCGTGCCTGTTAGACAGTTTTCATCTGACCTCAACCTCATTTTATGGATAAGTGAACAAGGTTAAGTTTTCGTGGTCAAGTCCATATCTCAGATACTATAAGCAATAGGTCTACTATATTTGATGTATGGAATGATTGTAAGGTGTACATGTCCAACTGGCAGGTGTCAACTGACCTTGACCTCATTTTCATGGTTCAGTGGTTAAAGTTAAGTTTTTGTGTTGTGGTCATTTTTTCTAATACTATATGCAATAGGTCAACTATATATTTGGTGTATGGAATGATTGTAAGGTACTATATTTAATACAGATTGATTGTAAGGTGTACATATCTGTCTGGCATGGTTCATCTGACCTTGACCTCTTTTTCATGGTTCATTGGTCAATGTTAAGTTTTCATGGTTAAATTCGTTTCTAAGAAACTATAAGCAATAGGTCAACTATATATTTGGTGTAAGGAATGATTGTAAGGTGTACATGTATTTCTGGTTTGGTTTATCTGATCTTGACCTCATTTTCTTGGATCATGTTAAGTTTATGTGATACTTGTAGTAAAGATTTATATTTAGGACTATCAACATAAAATCAATTGTCAGTAAAGCAGGCGAGACATTTCAGCATGTGCACTCTTGTTATAAATTTTTTGTGTTTTTGCCTAATATCTTAAAAACTATATTAGATAGATAAAATGTGAAACAGCAAAAATGATCGGCAAGACAAGATCTACAAATAAGTCAACTGACTAAAATTATTAGTCGACTCCTTATTGAAATTATTGCCCTTTAATGACAATTTCCCCATGTTTGCCTATTATCTTGAAAACTGTAATAGATAGATAGAAACTTTAAATAACTCAAATGATCAGCAAGACAAGATCCACAAATAAGCCATAATGGCTGAAATCTTCAGTCGAGTCATTATTGGAGTTATTGCCCTTTAATGATAATTTTTAACATTTTTTGCCTATAACAGATAAATAGAAACTTTAAAAAGGAAAAATTATCAACATAATAAGATCTACAAACATGACTGAAATTGTCAGTAAACTCTTAATAGAGATATTCCCCTTAAATGATGTTTTATATTAAAAGGTGGCCATTGTTGAAGAAAGAGGTGAGCGAAACAGGCTCTTTAGAGCCTCTAGTTTTATAGAAGTATTATGAGTAATCAAAGATCAATTGAAAAGCAGCCAGCTGAATGAAAATGTATTCATTTTGTTACTTGTCCTGATTATGCATGAAATATTTGCCCCTAGACATGTAGCCAGCAACAATCAATCATTCATTTAGTTCAAAAAATTTGCCCCAGGTCTCCTGATGGACACCTTGAATGCATACAGTAAAATAGAATAGAAAAATGTCAATAATATTTTGTGTAAAAACATGTATAATAATAATAAGTCTCCTAATAAAAAATTAGGCCGTATTTCTGAATATCCTATTATTGCATAAAACCTTATCTAGTCAAGTATAAGTTTACAATGTACAACAGAGGTAAAGTGATATCACTAGCTCACTCATTCCCTTTGAATCAGAAGAGTTTAATCAAAGTAGCCTCCTGAAATATGATGGATGGCTGTCCAAATTAAATACATATTCAGGATGAGAACCTGTTAATGTGATATGAATATGAACCCTGCTTTGTACTAGACCGATAGCTGAGCCAGATTTATAGTGTGCTAGTCCACAGGAATACAGGTTGCCCTTATGTGATCTGACACATTAATCCAACTCAGATGTGACTAGTGTTTAGCTCACAGGGACAATGGAGCTTTTCCCATCACTTGGCAACCTTGGTCGTCTGTTAACTTTTACAAAGATCATCTCCTCTGAAACTACTTTGCCAAATTTAACCAAACTTGGCCACAATCATCATATGGATATCTAGTTTAAAAAGCGTGTCCAATTACCCCGCCTGCCAACCAAGATGGCCAACATGGCTAAAATAGAACATGGGATAAATGTAAGTTTTATCTATTATTTTGAAAACTGCTATTAATAGAGAAAATCTGACATGGACAGAAATGTTCAGAATATGGAGATCTACCTATTGTCTATTTACTCAAAACTGTCAGACGAATTCTTATAGGAGTTATTGCCCTTAAATGATGAATTTTGCTACGTATTTTTGGTGTTTTTACCTATTATCTAAAAACAATAAAAGATAGATTTAAACTTTAAATAACAAAAATGATCAGCAAGAAAAGCTCTACAATCAGGTCAAATTCTGCTGAAAAGTGAGTAGATTGGAGTGATTGCTCTTAAATGACAAATTTTTATTACCCTCTTTTGTGTTTTGTGCAAAAACTAAATAAGATAGAGAGAAACTTAACAGTAGAACAAAGCGTTGAAGATGCACATAGACCTAGGTGAGCAACACAGGTGCTTTAGAGCCTCTAGTTGCTCTTTCTACTAAATACAACATGCTAAGGAGAGAAGTAGTGAATAACAATTTTTGATTCATTGGTATGACCTGGGTGGGGATCAAACCCAAACATCTCTAGCTATGTGTAAAAGAGCAATTTAAAAATCCAGGTAATTCACCTTAGGTATATTCAAAAATACTAGTACTCTAGATTCAAATTTGAGGAGTTAGGAATTGAGATATTCAACTATTACCATATTTATAGTGGGGAAAATAGGCAAATAAAGCAATAGAAAAGAGTCTCAAAAAATGGTGAAAGTTAGCGGTATGTATGAAACTGCTTTCATTGTTACTTGTTTCAATATTACTTATTTACCACATTTTATTTTTGCGGTCGTATAATGGTATGACTTGGTCGTTGTCTGAAAACATTTGGTTTCAGACAATAACTTCAGTATAAATGTATGGATCTCTATGAATTTTTACAAGGTTGGGATTGAATTTGGTGGTTATTGTTTTAACTGTTAAGGAATTAGAGGCCAAAAACAAGAATTTTTCTTGTTTAAGGACAATAAATTGAGTATAAGTCTACAGAAATTGTACCACAAGGTTCCAAACCAAAAAAGGAACGTTGGGATCGATTTTGGGGGTTATGGTCCTAACCGTTTATGAATAAAAGAACAGAGTTCCAATGTCCCCCTCATTGCACATATTTTGTCTATCCAAGGTACAAGGGCAATAACTGAAAAAAGCACTTTTTTTGGTTCTTTAAAATTCTTTATTAATATCTTAAGAGAAATGAAGGCTTCAGAGCAAATGCAATGTGATTTCCATTATGATTTATATTTCCAAAAGGGCATAACTCGTTAAAAATATTTGATCAGAACTTATTTTCGAAAGTGTCAAAGACATTGCTGATA